GTAAAATGTCCCTGGTTAAGTTGAGGCTTGATTTACGGCACAAAATGAGTGCGTCACCAATTGGAGAGAATAGCACCTTTTTTCCCGCGATAACGGTCAGTAACTATTCCTAACTACCAAAGATTATCATTGTAGGGTCGTTGCAGCAACTATCCCCAGAAGCAAATGATGGTGGGGCGATTGATTAAAATAAGAAAATGTGGAATACATTAATTTTTGACAAAATACAGTGTGTTCTTTGTTGCAAGGCTTGGAACACGGAAACACTAGGGAGGAGTTGTCTGTTTTCACTTTAAGGAGCGATGGGTGATGTAGAGGAAGGAAGACAGGAAGTGAAAAAAACTAAGAGACAACGATAAAGTGATGAAGAGGCAAAGATAAAGCTGGAGGGCGACTCTTTGACCTCTATGTCAGAGAAGAGAGGAAAGGAGGAGGATAAGAAATGACCTGCCCACAAGCCATCACACACACAATAATTATTAACTACTTAAAGATTAACTTAATATGTGTGTTTCTGCCCGTGATCAATATAGCCTCTCTAGAGCAATGTCTTCCACGTTAAGTACGTTCAAACAGGTTCATGTTTATCCTCTTCCTATAAAAAGGTCAAAAGTTCAGTTGTATACTGCATGATCATGCAAATCAAAGACTGAGGAATTCCCAAAGTAAATGTCTAAGCAATTTATGCCAGCTGACACTCTGGCCGTTGAAATATGGAGATGTTGACATTTGCACACTGAGGCTAATTTTATAAATATATGTGTGTTTTCTGTTTGTGGGAGTGTAATCTCTGTTGTCTGATTTTTTTTTCCTAACCCCCGGGCAGTTCATCTCTGTCTCTGGAGATGTGACCGAGGTCAGACATAAAAACAGACGCACGGGGAGAGTTGGTATATTTCATCGTGGAGGATTTTTTTCTCCAGAAATAATTACCTTATATAGCTTAGCTTATTGTGAGGAAGGCTTTCTTGAAGACTGTTTGAAGAGAAGCTATTAGCTGAGTGGGATACAAAGGCTAAACATAATCATAAATCGGCCTACTACAACCAAATTGAACAAATTAATGGTATATTTATTGTTAAATATATACAAAAACCTAAGAGAAATGGTCGCTGCTCTCTGCTACAATGGGAATAGGCGTATTCCTCAAAATATCTTGTTTCTAGGTTGTTGTTTTTGTATTTACTAATCAATGATTTTAACCACACTGCTTAGCCGTCTATAAATAGCGATTGACCCAAAACATATGACTACAATTCTTTTCTCAGATAATTGTAGTTATTGGTCGGACACTCCTTCAAAAGGAGACCAGGAAAGCAACTAATGCAGTCATTCATTTTGTACATGCCTCCTATCAAACTCTTCCCTAAGGCTACAGCATTGTCTTAAATGTCCTCTTCATTTTTACCCTTATGTTCATTCCATTCCTCAATTTCCATCGGCCATCACCCCTTCTCTTTTTGTCACCCATTACCTTTTAGACAAAAAGTCCTATGAATGTGAATGGGCTATCAGGGAGAACATGGCCAGAGGTCCAGCATAGCTTAATGCGCCGCTGTGGGGGAGGTCATTTCGGCTGCAGCAGCATGGAGCATTAGTGTAATTAATCTGAAGATGGGCTATTACATTTGCATGCTATCAAATTGCCTTTTTTCCCACAATGAGATTAGTAGATTTAGCATGCCTGGCCTGCATTTAATGCATTCAGCACACAACATTGTGTTGCTCTCTCTCTCTGTGTGGACTTCCCTCTCGATTAACTAGTGAGAGCGATATCCAATAGGACGTGTCCGCGTAATTAGCCGTGTCCCGGGGATGTATTAGCTCACACTCTGCCTACCTCAGCTAGATAAAGTCTGACACACTACTTCCTGTGTGTGTGTTCATTATAATCTCCCTATGTCATCAGACACGCTACATACCTCTCCAGCAGAGTGGAGACGTCACAGTGACTCCTATAGTTTTACCTTTAAATGAAGACTCCAAGCCCACCGTGTCCTGACTGTGTAACCACACGTGTTTGTGGGTTTATAATAAACGTGCATGGATGCATCTGCTCGTCATGAATAATGGAGACTTCAGGATAGACTGAGCATTTACCTGACAGCAGCACACTGCTCCACCTCCAAATCCAGGAGTTACTGTCTCCCTCCGGCTACTGTGATTCAGCCAGGCCTGCACTCAGTGATCTATCTCTGCATTCAAAGCTTCTGTTGAGTTTTTTTTTAATGAAGCCTAAATGTCTGCTGTCTTATTTTTGCAATGTCATCAACCTCCAAAGATTGGCGATTTTCTTTCTTTTGTTATAGTTATATGCATTTAATTGATGTTGCTGTTGGACATCCACGTTGAAATATGTGCCAACATACTGTATATGGATTGAAATAGAACATTTCGGCAGATTAAAACATATGTAAAAATATTTTTTTGTTTTGTTTATAAAGGCAGTGGCTCAGTCAGTAGAGGCTTGGACTGTGAGCCGTAGGTTTGCCGGTTCAAGTCCCCGACCAGACCTAAATATGGAGTGTGGACTTCTACTTGGAGAGGTCCCATCAGTTCACCTCCTGCCCTGCCGTGGTGCCCTTGAGCAAGGCACCGGACATCCCTCTTCCCCCCTCACTCCCATTGCTCCCCGGGCGCTGTACAATAGCTGCCCACTGCTCCTAGTACTAGACTCCTGGTACTAGGATGGGTTAAAAGCAGAGAACACATTACACTGTGTGTGCTGTGTGCTCTGCATGTGTGACCATTAAAGAGGGTTTTATCCCTCCCAATTCTATTCTTTAGGATTATTTTCTCTTTGAAATGTATCTGACTTTTTTACCGTAGCTACTGTAAGTGTTCTCATATGTTGTGTTGGAGTTACAGGAAAATGGCCTCTGCTTTTTTCACATCATAACCTAACAACCTTCCCTATAACGTCAGCAACCTTTGTTGTTTGCTTCAGGCAATACGAAAAAAAAAAAGCTTTTCAATCCAGTGCCTAGACTTATAATTGCATAATAAGGCTTATTTATTTACTGTAGAAATACTAGGCTTGAACAGAAATAATTGACATGCAAAAATGTTGATTTCGAATTTGAATGTCGTCGTTACGAACATAGCTTTCGAAGCCTCAAACTACTTGGTAGAGTCCAACCAGCTCATGCAATGGTAATAAACGACCTTCAACCATTTATTAATGTACCCTATTGTCTAGAAGACCGAGACATTGATCAAACATAATAAATGCATAGCAGTATCTTGATGCCATTGGTGCAGTGATATATCACCAATTTGCTAATAAATGAATGCCGGCTAATGCACATGTGACAGAGGCTCACTTACTGCAAGACAGAGCACATACAAGGGGAAAACACACACACACACACACACACACACACACACACACACACACACACACACACACACACACACACACACACACACACACACACACACATTCTCCACTCCCTATAGTAACGCTCACAGAATCCCATTAACGCCAACATGGTTCTTTGTGTTTGTGACGGTAGTACGTAGCAATCTGTGTCTCTTTTTAACGAACCACGCAACAGAAGCTCGCGCTGGCGGGCCTGCACTCATGTGTAACTCCATCTGTATGACGCACTGACAAAAGTAGCTTTCACTAATGTGGTGTTTGTGCATGCATGTGCCAAGCTGTGTTCAGCTGTATCTCCGCGGCAGAGTTGTGATTGTTCCGGCCGAGCGCACTCGCATGCCATATGTTTACAGGCAAACACGTGGCCTCTCAGTGATGCTCATGGGATGTTCTAGTAAGAAGTGCAATGCAATGTGGGTGCAGCAATTACTAAAAAACTCCATACAACTGACAAATTGTACGAGTTAGGGTCTTATTTGTAGAATAGAGACTGAAAAGTGCAAGATGGTTTAGACCAGGGGTGTCAAACTCAAGGCCCGGGGGCCAAATCCGGCCCGTGACTTCATTTTCTGTGGCCCCACAAGAGCTTGCAAAGAATATAATATGTTTATTATACAGTCACATGATGATTTACAGAAGCACGTTGCCCATAAACAACATGTCCCGTAATGCATCTCAAATTAGACTTTTTTTCTCAGAATTTGACTCTTTTTTTTAAATGTTACTTTATTTTTAAATGTCACTTCTGTTTTTTTAAATGTCACTTCTGTTATTTGATTTTGACTTTTTTTCCAGCTTTTCTTTTTAAATCATTTTGTGACATTCTCACTGAAGAGACTTGCAATTATTTGCCCCAGACTTCTGCTTTCATACGTAGTTAATCATAAAGTTATTACCCTATCAGATAATAATCCAATGCAGAGACAATAATGTAATATAATACATTATTTTATATATATATTTATATATAAGTTACAACCGGCCCTTTGAGTGCAGCCATAATGCTGATGTGGCCCGTGATTAAATTGAGTTTGACACCCCTGGTTTAGACCTTCCACTTTGGCAGGATGACTTTTGATCCATGACTTACACACCCTGGTTGGTTGTTTAGCTTTAAGAATGTCAATAAGCTTGCAGAAAAGTAACCTTTCCATTATGATTTGGTGATATTCATCGTGCCCTACTCATTTTCAGGTATGTAGTGTCTCTACTGTGACATGTTTCCATTCTTTAATGTTCAACAGTATTTTTCTCATACTGCCTGTGCTGCAGCACCTCTTTTCACCCTCTGTCTGAAACCAAAGCCCAGTCTGCTCTGATTGGTTTGCTGGCCGACTCTGTTGTGATTGGTCAACCGCTTGTGTGTCCGAAATGTCCTGCCCCTTAGCTTACCACGTACAACGAGCTGGAGTGCTAGCCAATAGCAGCGCTAGTATTACATGGTGATGTTATATGTCACAGAAGTGAACAAAGGAAAGGGAAAACATAAAACATAATAGGAGTCTTGTCTACACTTTAATTTATCAATTTAAGTGATCACGTTGCCTAAACTAAATTCAACACTAACATTAAACTGTCCCAGGTGGTAATTGTTATATATATTTGTTCCTCTCTGTAGTGTGGATCCAGACTCTCCGTTGACGGCCTTGATTGAGTCGTTGAATCTGGACAAAAGGTTTTCATCCTGACAGCCAACCATGGACAGGAACAGGAAGTGGGTGCCGGGTTTCGGAGCAGTGCTATTGACACTCTTGAGTCACATGACCTCGGCGCTGGAAGTGCCTCTTGATCGTAAGCATTGTTCTTATGGATATACATTTGACTATGATTACCATAATAGTACATTTTGGAGAAAACGTTTTGAATCAACTATTGCATTATCATTAAAGCTTCGAGCTCTTGAAAACTGTTATTTCAATTCCATCTAACTCTTTGTATTGGGTAACAATGTCATAATGCAGCAGTTTTTTATTGTGTTTCAGCTTTGCATGTTTCGGCATGGACTCAAATTTCCAGCTTTAAATTATGAAATTACATTTTGAAGAATTCTGTTTCCCTATGTCTTCAACTACTTTTCTTGCATTGCTTGTACCTGCCCGATGAAGCCGTAAAAGTATTCACGACAAAAGAGGGAAATCTCTCCCAAGCTTCAGGCAGGCTCAACAAAATGCTTAAAAATACTTGAACGTGCGACTTTGTCACCTGAACCTGTGCTTTACTCCTTTCCAAAACTAACACCTTTCCTCAATATTCTATCACTGTGGTACGGCCTGTCATGGTGGACAAAAAGCTAAAGTACTGGAAGGATGTAAGTTGCCTCGAACACTGCTGTGACTTCCTAGAGTTTTTTTTTTGCACTAAAAACTTGCTTTGGTGTGTTCTAGCAATGTTAGATGTGCATGCAGTTATCTCAACAGTGTTTCAGTGTGAAGTGACTTGCTTGTTTTTGGAGTGATGCTTGTTTTATGTCAGTTCATGGACTGGTAAGTTGCTATCAGAACAGATAGCTGTTTGCAGACGGTGTTAAAATATGATTGTGTGATGCTTGCTGCATGCATTTTTTGGATTCTATAACCCCACCCCCAGTGTCATGCATTTCCATGTATGTGTATGAAGTTTGCTTCCTTTCATGTTCCTCCAGTGCCCCAACCCCCCACTATAACGCTACAGTCCCCGAAGGATTACATCTTTGATCCGCGGGAGAACATTGTCATCCACTGTGAGGCCAAAGGGAAGCCTCATCCCAGGTGAGACAAACCTCTTCACTTCTCAATGTAACAGAGTACATGTATAGACAAATCCAAGTCAATAACATGTATTTCTTTTTGAAATAACGGCATAATTCAGGGACAAAAGCTTGTGAAATGATGTCATGCCAAAGAATCAACCTGAGAGTTTCAGCAATTAAGAGCCATCTGTTTCCATTCAGTTTTATGTGTGAAATTAAAGATTTTTTTGAGCATTGGGGAAATACTGTATGAATCGCCATAGCGACTGTTGTCATGGACACCACTTCAAAAACACCTGGCGGGGTGATTTAGACAATTTCGATTGGCTATCAGCTTTTCAATCCCCCCCAAACTCCCTGCTTCGTAATTTCCTCTCTTTTGTGTTTCCCCGTGGCTTCTAGCCTAGAAAATCAAGTGCTAATTTTCTTCCTTGTTGATCCTAGCTTCTCGTGGACAAGAAATGGGACCCACTTTGATGAAGAGAAAGACCCCAAAGTCCTGATGAAGCCCAGCTCAGGAACTCTGGTCATCGACATCAGCGGGGAGAAGGCCGAGGCCTACGAGGGAACGTACCAGTGCACGGCACACAACGAGCACGGCACCGCGGTGTCCAACAGCATCGTCATCAGGCAGTCCAGTAAGAACTCTGGTTATGTTCAGTTTGTCGGTTTGGTTTGCTTCAGATTTTCGTGAAACTTGGTGAAAGGATTAGGGTTATGGTTGGGTTGTACAACTGTTGAATCGACCAACGAATAACCAATTATCCTGACAGTTTTTGGGTAGTAAGGCTGCTCAATATATTCAGTGTTTATCATCATCGCAATGTCAGCTTTTGCAATAAACATGTTGTTAAAGACAGCAGAATTGCACATTAAGGGATTATTGGTTAGTAGAAAAAGAGTATAACATTTCCTTTATTGGTAGCTTGTGTTTTCACTACAATGTTTTCATTTGTGTGATGAAAGAATGTTGTAAAAAATATCCAATTACATTTTGGAACGGAATAAAAACACGGAGTTAACAAACATACAAGTTCTAGTGCTGGTTTCTGTAAAAAGAAAAATACTCTAAAGGCTTGCGCTCCAACATCATCAATATAATACATTTTTAGAGCTGTTAATCACAAGTTGCTTTTTCCATTTTTCCGAAATGTGTGGAATTAAACTTTGTTCCTTATATATCTAGCTTCCGAGCAAATCGCGCCACTTTTACATTTATGAATTCATGTGATCCACACTGTTTGAGAACCTATGGGAAGCCTCCAGTGCCTTTTGTTTGATGTTTGTGTGACTCGCAGGGTCCCCCTTGTGGTCGAAGGAGAGGAATGAGGCCATCGTGGTGCAGATCGGGGTCTCCCTGGTGCTGCAGTGCCGACCCCCTGCTGGGCTGCCCCCTCCGGTCATCTTCTGGATGGATAACAGTGAGTCATTTGCATTTATACATATATGAACACATGCTACATGGAGGGAGAATTCCCACACCCTATAGAAAACACAAAGGATTGCATTTAGTCACTATAGCATATGGCAAATAAAGCTTTTACTGACCCTATGACATAGCAAATATGTTTTGGTTGTAAAACAACATTTAAAAAAGGTACTTACATATTGTTCTTTATTCCGTGTTTAACCTTTGTCTCCCCGTCCTTCAGACTTCCAGAGGCTCCAGCTGGATAAGCGTGTGTCCCAGGCTCTGAATGGAGACTTGTACTTCTCCAACGTTCTCCCAGAAGACACCAGGAGCGACTACATCTGCTACGCACGCTTCCCTCACACACAAACCATCCAGCAGAAGCAGCCCATCTCCGTCACCGTGCTGGACAGTAAGTCAAGACACTGATTTCACTGCAAAATTAATACACAAATGTAATATTTGCACATTTAAGCTTTCTGACTGTGTATTTTCATTCTTATTTTCTAATTATTGCAATAAATGTCCCCTTGATGGCACATTTATATGCATTTTTTCACATTTTCTGATCAACAGAATTTATAATGACTATTGTTTTAAATCCATGTGTCCCTGCAAAACTGCATTAGCTTCAGTTTTGCTGTTTTCCCCTTTATTCTACCTTTCGTAAGCTTTATAAAGTGCCTCTAGTGGTATAACAATGTTGTTATTGTAGTGCTATACCTGTAATTTGTCAACAATTTCTCATCACTCTTCCCACAATGCACTTTGCACAAGCTAATGCATTAGCTAATGCATTGGTGAATTGTAAAATAACCCATTTCCTGTTTTCTTTCCTAGCTTTGCATGCTTATGCTTTTCTGTTATATTACAGTGGAAACAATGAATGAGACTGTGGCTGCTTTGTACAATGTCACTGATTTCTATAGTGGTGAGTGCTGCTGGTTTATTCCCATTCAGCCCCCTCACGTGACCCCAGCCCTGCTTTTACCTCACCGTACCCAACACACACACGCTCACCTTCAACTCTATTAACAAACTCTTCCTCTCATCTCTCTCATCTCTCTCCTGACAGTTTTTGTGTAGTAAGGCTGCTCAATATATTGAGTGTTTATCATCATCGCAATATCAGCTTTTGCAATAAACACGTTGTTAAAGACAGCAGAATTGCCGATTACGGTATTTCTTAGTTAGTTGAAAGAGAGTATGACGTTTTTTGTATTGGTAGCTTGTGTGTTCACTTCAATGTTTAATTTGTGTGATGAAAGAATGTTGTAAAAAATATCCTTTACTGTATTTTAGCAGTACTAAAAGCAGCAGAGAGGGAGAACTCAGTACACTGTACGAAGACATCCATATAACTAATAGTTACCTGTTCCTTATAAGGGTAAAAAAAGGCTGAGATGTAGTAAGAAAAATACATGATTTAATTTCCTTAGTTCTTGCTGATTACAATTATTAACTCAAATAAAAGCTCTGAAACTGTGGATTTTTACAAATAAAACCAATTTGGCTCTAGCTTATTTGCCGATAATTCTCTTATAATTTCATTATGATAAAAATATAAATGTCCATGGATTTGAATATTTATTGACATATATATATTGCATCCTAACTCAAATCTGTTTATATTTACATGGTACATGGTCATAAACGTGATCACATAATGTCCTCATATAGTGCAGCCTTATTGTGATTATTGCGGGTCTGATGATGAAGATGTTGGTGAATATAAAAAAAACTTGCCTGTAGGGTTAGTATCCGCAATCTCAAAAGCCCAGGATGTTGTAAGCCACATTCAAAGCATGCATAACATTACATATCAACTAACTGCATCTCCCCAGGAATCATAAACACACTCTAGACTGATCTGCATCAAGAAAGCCCTCGATTGTTATCCAAGATGGCGACATGTGAAGCATGATATTTTTATTTTAACATGGCATTGCTCTTTGTCCACATCCTGAAGTGGAAGGGGATCATTATCTGTATTATCTGACCTTTCCAGCTGAGGAAATGTAGATCGTTCCATTAGGAATGTATGTGAGGCTTGGAAGTGGGTTGCTTTTAGCCAAGATAAGGCCCCCATGTTGCCATAGCAACAAACCGACGGCTACCCCTCTCAGGGAGATGCCCCCATGCTTTCTGATTCTGAGGATGCTGCTTATATAGAATATGATAAGGCTTTACTGAAAAAAATGTTGGGTCATCTCATTTATTATCCTATTCACTTTGACATCCACTTTTCCTTATAGAGTATTACAAATGGCCCTCTGAGCCTGTGGTTTCATCCATGGTTACCATTTTTTGTTGTGTATCAGAGTGGTTCTGATGTGGTTGTGTGTCCTCGTGTCTTCAGACAGCCCAGAGGGGGAGCGCCGCCCCGGGTTCATGACGCCTTTTGGTGCCACCAGCACCAAGATGGTTCTGCGAGGAGAGACTCTGGAGCTGGAGTGCATTGCTGACGGCCTGTAAGTAGGAATCTATAAATAACATGGAGACAGAAACAGTTTTACAACAATGACAAAACTAAATGTATTTGACAGCACAGAATGTAGAAATAGCAGAGCAACAAACATCCTGTATGTCCTCTGTGACAGGCCCACTCCAGAGATGTCCTGGCAGAAGGACGGAGGAGAGCTGCCCAGCACCAGGACGTCCTTCTATAACTTTAAGAGAACACTCAAGGTTTCTGAGGTGAATGAAGCTGACGGGGGGGATTACCGCTGCACCGCCACAAACAACCTGGGCACTGCTTACCACATCATTAAAGTCACCGTCAAAGGTAAGCAGCTTCACCTGGTTATTCATTTGTTTCAATCGGTGCATCAAGTAGATATTTTTGTTATCGCTACATAAGAATTTAAAGTAAATTGACAAGCAGTTTGACAAGACAGATATGTATAAACACTTTTGGTATCTTGGATTCTTAGACTTTTACAGTTTTCTTTGACTAAGATAAGATTTAAAAGGCTTAGACTTTGTGTCAAATGAACAAAACAAAAAATAAAGCTGACCTAATATGAAAAATAACTGACAGGACATTTGACACATAACAAACATTTTAATATAATTTTAATAAAAACTGACAAAATGAACGCTAGTTTGTAATCTACCAAGCTTGCAAAACAAAATGCTCAACATTCATCATCAGATTCTATTTTAATAAAAATATCTTATTAGTCAGATTCAAGTTAATGTTACATTATCATACCTAGATGCTAATATCATGCACCCCTAAAGGGTGTATATCATGTGGCTTCATCATGTAGCTTAATCATAAACACAAGGCTCCGAATTAGTTTTTGCCACTCTCAAAAATCTTGCTCCTCGTCCTCCACAGCGGCTCCTTTCTGGGTCAGCGCCCCCAGGAACCTGATCCTCGCCCCGAACGAGACCGGCATCCTGACCTGTCGAGTCAACGGAGAACCCAAACCCAAGATCAGCTGGTTTGTCAACGGAGTCCCCATAGAGAGTGAGTAAAACGACACCATGCTTTCAAAGAGATATTTAAGCAATAGCTCACGACAGGCCGTGGTACAGTATATGGCCATTATATCACAGTTAAGGGGCGTGGTTCGCAAGCAGTTTGCTTTTCAGCCCAACTGTATACTGTTTTTCTCAGACACGGAGGGATACTGACTTGTTGTGAAAAGTAACTTACAATTCTACCCGTGGTATACGCTCAGTATATCACGGCTAAGAACCAATCAGATTGCTTGATTTGACTTGTCCGTTTTATAATCTACATTAACACACAGATATATCCACAGTGCCTGACATGTACCTAAACACACATTACATGTCACTTGTTAGACGCTTTTATCCAAAGCGACTTACATACGTTCAATACTGTGGACAATCCCCACAGGAGCAAATTGGGGTGAAGTGTCTTGCCCAGGGACACGACGACATGCTGACTGCAGTGGGACTCGAACTTACTATCCCCTGATTCAAAGTTCAGCGCACTAAGTTCAGCGCACTACACTACTGAGCCAGAGCTGTAGTGGGACTCCCAATCCCTGCAGTGTTTTTTTCATCCATTTACAGCTTCTTAAAACCTTCCTTTATTTTGTCTTACAATAGACGCACCTGAGGACCACAGTAGGAAGGTGGATGATGACACTGTGATTCTTAGCAACGTGCAATCAGGGTCCAGCGCCGTTTACCAGTGCAACGCATCCAATGACTTTGGTTACCTGATGGCAAACGCTTTTGTCAACGTTCTTGGTGAGTAAAGCCAATACAAGTTGAATGTACATGTTAGATATACAGTCCAGTAGAGATGCTGATTCACTTTATGCTGTGCTTCTTCTCATAGCCGAGCCACCAAGGGTGCTCACTCCACCCAACCGAGTGTACCAGGTCATCACCAACAACCCTGCGTTACTTCACTGCGCCTCCTTTGGCTCGCCAATACCAACCATCACATGGTAAGATTGGTTTGGGATAACTTTCAATTGTCACTAGTATCATTGTCCATGTTTTACTGTATTTATTTTCAGTTTTGCTTTTATTTTACCTTTTAAATTGTCTTTTTAAAATTGTTTTATTTGAACATATTATAATGTAGATGTTTTATCTTGTTCTGTATTCATTATAATATTATTGTAATAGTGTTGTTGTGTTTTCTGTAAAGCACTTTGGGCTGCTTTGTGCATGAAAGGTGCTATACAAATAAAGTTTATTCAGATTCAGATCAGGTTTTCACTTCAAACTGCAAGTTAAATTCAAATTCTTGTTGATTTTGCCCTTTCTTCCCACCAGTTTTCCATTAAATGCTCCCTCCTTCCCTTCCAGGTTTAAAGACAGTCAGACCAGCGTTAAGAATGGCGACCCTTATGTGATCCATGAGAACGGTACGTTGGATATCCATGTGGCCCAGCCATTAAACAGCGGGAAGTACACCTGCATAGCCACCAACATCCTGGGGATCAAAGAGAACCACGTCTTCCTGGAGGTTAAAGGTCAGATATGAAGGGAAACATTATATTTAAGGCCTCTATAACCACATCAAACAATGTTATTTATTAATATTAACTCCTATTTTCTCCGTCTCCTAGAGCCCACCCGTATCCTAATGCAGCCGGAGTACAAGGTAGTGCAGAGAGGAATGAGCGCTGTGTTCGAGTGTAAAGTCAAACACGACCCCTCCCTCATCCCCACCATGACCTGGCTCAAGGACAATACAGAAGTGTCTAAAGATGAGAGGTACAAAGACATTAAAGGTCACCTATTATGCAAAATCCACTTTTTCCATGTCTCTTCTACATCAGCATGTGTCCCCTCTGTGTAAACAGACTCTGAAAGTTTCAGGAAAAAAGATTCGCTCACTTTTTGTCCTGATCCATTTATATAAAAGCCTGTCTGAAAATGAGCTGATCAGATTTCGGCCACATTATGATGTCATAACGATTTTTTGTCTTGTGTAACCATTAGCCAACCAAGGTAACCCCCCCCCCCCCACCTTATCACCTGAATCTCCTCCTAGAGCACCAATAGCCGCGTTCACACCAAGTACTTTGCCGTATTTAGTGCCGGCACTCAGAGCCCCGGCACTTATGACCCCAGGGCACTTAGTACAGATCGCGTTCACACCGGAGTTCTTTTCCCTGAGGGAAGATTACGCAAATGAGCCGCTGACGTCACTTCGTCTTCTTCTGCTTTGGGTTTACTGGCAGGCAGCAAACAACTTCACGGCGTATACTGCCACCCGAAGTCCCCGGCCGGAAGTCCCCGGAGTTGGGGACTGGCTTCAATAGAAGCTGCTGGGACTCCCAGCTTCTACTGAAGCCTTCTGAGTAAATCGCCAGAACGCCGACACCTCCTCATCTCCACCGCTCCCATGTTTTGTTTTGTGTTGCCATAAGTTAGTCTCTCTGCGTTTGTGCGCTGGGCGAATGCTAATGCTAATAATGCTAATGCGAGGATAATAAAATGGCGGCTCTACAAAACATTTCAGAGTTGTACGGGGCGTGGTTTGCAATTCGCCCAGCCAACCAGAACTGGGGCACTTTTTTTCCCAGGAAAGTACGATCTCTCAGCAGGCACTAAAAATGGGGGTAAAAGTTCCCGAGATTAAGTGCTCTTTTTGGTGTGAACGCGACATAAGGGGTACTAACGGAACTAAACGCGAAAAGTACGGTGAAAAGTACTCCGGTGTGAACGCGGCTATTGTGTTCTTTTAACCAAATCTCTCTCAGAGGGGTGTGGGGAGTGGCTCCTTATTTTCATCTAAAGTAACAGACAGAGAATCAGCACTTTTGAACCAGGGCTGAAACAGAGGGGATTATGGGATGCTGCAATAATCTGTTTGGTGTTTGGAGCCAAACACTTCAGAGACATGTTTGTATATATCTGAGACCTATAATATATTGATGAAAAACAGTATAATAGGGGACCTTTAAGACACTTAAATAATCCCATTAAACACAGGATTATAACTCTCCATTCCTGCCATCAGGTTTCAGGTGGACGTGGACAGTCTGACTATCACAGACGTTGAAGATGAAGATGAGGGCACCTACACCTGCATCATGAACACCACTCTGGACCAGGACTCAGCCAGTGCCATGCTGACGGTCGTAGGTACGTTCACGATGCATTCAGGGGTCCTTTACAGGTTACCAGATGTTAATATCAATAATATCAAGTTTAAATAAAACTTTGATTCAACGTAATATTATTGATTTCGCTTTACCTAATACAGTTATGTGAAATTTGTTGACAAAATACATTTAATTAAAGTCAAGGTTTGAGTATTTTCAGTGTACAAGGCTAACAAATTAGCTAGCTGGCAAACAACACAACTCAAGAAATGCAAACACATAAAATGCTCAAATTACAATACATGAACTTATCACAGAGTGAAACATGAACTCTCATGGCCTCCGCATTTCTGACATTAGCAAACACATAACTTTCAGAACATCTCCACTTACAAGGTTGCAAATACCACATGTATCTCATATGGACTCTTCCTACAGGACTTTAAAATGATCCCATTTGATTACAGAGAGTGAAACCACACAATGTAAATCCTGCATATATTTTTTTGAAGGAATTGCAATGTAGTAACCGTGATAAATGATCTCTTTACACAAATATTGTTAGTGGCTTGGACTCAACACAAGAGTAAAGGCACACACTATTCCCTTTCTCTTCTGCCCTGCTCATTTTTTACAATTACTGTACTTCCAAAAATCTTTATTGAAATGCACTCAAACCGCTTTTCACCCCTTCAACTTTACAGCAGCAGCGTCAGTTATGATCTAATTGTCTTCAGTATTTTCCCTGCTTGTCTGCTGTTCTCTAATATCTCTCACTAACATCTTCTTCTTGTACTTTACTCTTGCTTCTCGCTCTCTCAGAGGCTACTCCTACTCCAGCTATTGTCTACGGTAAACAATGTCCTCAAATTTAGGATATATAGCTTTCATTATTCCCACCCAACCATCAAGTTCTGTTTGTAAAAACTCATTGGTTATTTCAGTTACGTTGTATTTATTCCTTTCTTTAATCCATATTGTAGCATTTGATTTTCATTTAGGGAATGCATTTTTCAATTTCACAATCTCATTTTCTCTTATTGTTGTTTTTCTAGTTATTGTAAAAGGGCTCGCCCACTCAGGTGTTTTCACTTAAAGGGGACCTATCATGCAAAATGCACGTCTTTTATACATGAATATGTGTCCCCGGTGTTCCAGGGAACTCACCAAGTGTCAGAAAACACAACCCTCTCTATTTTCCTCCGTACCCAAATCTCTAAAAAAGGGGCTGCAACGGATCTGATAAAAACTGATCCAGATTTGAACACTGTCCTGACGTCAGGACGGTGGCGCTACGGCTATTGGGCCAACTCCACCAATCAGGAGGAGACAGCCACGGCCATTGCCGTTCGAAAGTGCTGGAGACGCTGTAGTACATATGCCAGGCCTGTAGATGGTGCTGTTGCTCACAGAATCAACCCTTGCAAAAACAGAGCTAACATTTTTCAAATTGAGCGAAATGAGGCATGGCTAAAATGCATGATCTGTTTGGTATTTTGAAAAAAAAAAAGTATAAATATGCCTTATATAGGTATGGTCCTACACTATATTATTATAATATAGCATGATAGGTCCACTTTAACCTTCCTGATTAGACCCTTCTCAGGTGTTGAGCATGCGCAGAGGTCTAATCAGTGAGAAGTGGAAACACCTGTGTGAGTGAGCGTGAATCTAAAATGTTTAATTGAACAAAATAATACTGCCCTTTGAAATACATCAGAGGAACCAAGGTGTATTGGTAAAATTATTTAAAAAATACCAATTGCCTCCTGGTTATTATTGAATCCAGGGTCATACATTTCATGTTTATCGTTGTCTAGATTTATTTGATGGCTATTTTTATCTGAATAAATGTGTTTGATTATAGACATTTTTGACCAAAACAAGCTTCAGTGTGCATCAAAGTACATTTCCCTGCATTTTTTAAATTATTTTTATGGTCAAATTGTCAATCAAAACAGTAGCAAGGCCAATTCCTCGTCAAAAACCAGGGAGAGACTTTTCATTTTTCTGTTGTGTGTTGCAGAGAGTCCCGACCCCCCCACCGACCTGGAGCTGACGGACCAGACAGCGAGGAGTGTTCAGCTCACCTGGACGCCCGGAGACGAACACAACAGTCCCACAGAGAGTAAGACTACACTTGTACACTGTTACCATGCCGATAAGACGCAATAGTCACTGAAATCAAAAAACGATTTCCACATTTAAAAAAGTCCTCTGTTATGCAGGAAAGTTCCAATATAGTTTAGATTTCATAAAGCATGCATGTTTGGTTTTGTTGGAATACACAACAAAGGGACTTGGTCTGATGCAGCCTTTCTCCTAAATAATATCCCTATTGAAAGAAAAAGACATGGTCAGTTACATTTTTAGGGTGAAATATTTTCTCCTGGATCGGTTAAAAAATAAGTAAGTGTTGACCAGAGGTGGAAGAAGTAGCCAGAGCTTTTACTTATGTAAAAGTAGTGATGCCACAGTGTAGAAATACTCGAACTGTCCACTGCTCTTTATGTAAAAATATTTGCACATTTGTACTATATCAGGGTGTCCGCGGGGTCTTAAAAAGTATTAAACGGCATTTTCCAAGGTATTACATTTTGTAGCTTGTTTTCAATAAGTATATAAATTGTCCAAAGAGGTTGTATTCTACAGTCTGCCTGAATGTAATCATTGCGTAGGTGTGTAGTGTGATTCTGTGTAGTTTATTTATGGCATCCCGTTGGATTTGACGTCATCTGAACAGGACATCGCACGCTCACTGCTTGATAGCGCGCGAAGGCCCGTTTACGCCGGTTGTTAAACAACATCGTTATGGGGAAATGCAAGTTTGTGTCCAAATAGTTGGAAGATAAGGAGGAAGGACAATCAATACTGTATATAGTAAATGTGAGGTAAAGTGTGTCGCCAATGTAACCGGTTAGAACTCAAAGTGGCGATGAGGTCTTAAAATGTATGGAAAGGGTCTTAAAAAAGGTCTTAAAAGGTATTACATTTGACTTCAGGATTCCTGCATATACCCTGTATATTTATGCTTTTCCGGATATAAACCCAACAGAAAATACTTTTGGTCCATTGATTTTACATAAGTAAAAGCAGTGATGCCACAGTGTAGAAATACTCTACCTGCTCTACTGCTCTTTACGTATTCATTAACTCAATTATTTGAAGTCAGTGTCTTTAATTCAATATTTACTCCACCCACAGAGTTTCTGATCCAGTACGAGGATCTGCTCCACCAGCCGGGGGTGTGGATCAACCTGACGGATGCTTCTGGGACGAGCACCACGGCGCAGTTGAAGCTCTCTCCGTACGTCTACTACTCGTTCAGAGTGCTGGGTATGAACCGCGTGGGCTACAGCCAGCCCAGCCAGCCCTCCAGCCAGTACAGGACCACCCCTGCAGGTGATTAACACAACAAAATGATCTGCTATATTTAAATATTCAAAAATATCCATTAATCAATCTATATTTGTTTTTGTTTTTCTAGCTCCTGATGACAATCCATCAGATGTGAGTGGAGTAGGGACACAGCCTGGGAATTTAGTCATATCCTGGACGGTAAGATTGCTTTTATGACAAAAAACAAACGGTAGAACATGTCACGATTTTTTTTAGGCAAATGACAACATATTTCTCTCCACAGCCGCTGACCGGATTCCAGGCTAACGGGCCCAACTTAGAGTACAGAGTTCAGTGGAGAGCGAAGGACGTGGACGAGGATTGGAGCTCGAAGAACGTGGCCAACGTTTCCCAGTTTGTCGTGACTAGAACTCCCATCTACGTGCCGTACGAGGTCAAGGTTCAAGCGTTGAACGATTATGGCACCGCCTCCGAGCCTGAGGCAGTGTTTGGATACTCTGGAGAAGACTGTGAGTGAACACATACCTATGGAGAGTTTTGTATTGTTCAAATGCCCTTGATTTCTGTGTAAGGCAACACAAAGGTGTTTAACAGTGGGATCTGTAGTACTAATAACTTAACACAGCGAGTCATTGGAGTCAATGGTGATAGGGTTAAATATTTTCCTGAGTCAACATCCTTTATGTTTCTCAGGGTTGTTTTTAAAAGATTACTTTTGAACCAATGAGTTTTGCTTGGACTTTGAGCCTTTTTTTTCAAAACAATGCAATACAGGTTATGGCGTAGATCAAGATGAGATCTAAACATCTTTGTACATTTGTACTATATATATGCTTCTCCGGATATTCTTTTTATTTTTTTTTATTTAAAGGAGAGGTGTCATGGCCATTTCCACTGATCATAATTCCATTGTTGAGGTCTACTAAAATAGATTTATACTGTGCATTTTTCCAAACTCACATTGGTTTCTCATACAGCATCTCTGTAAACTACGTGTATTCACTGAATTTCACTCTCTGCCTTTAACGGCTCGTTGTAGCTCCAAAAGCTCCAGCCCCCACCCTCCCTGTGAGCACAGTGTGCTCTGATTGGTCGGGACGTTGTGAATCGCGCTGAGCTCCGTGGAGGTGTTGTTTCCTTGTTTAGGATACATAGCGAAACACAGCCAAATTCATCCTGAGCACACACAAACTCACATCCGAAGTAAAAACAATAAGTGTGGCTTGATATTGAGTAAGAAAAAGGTTGATAAACGCTGTGAGAATGGGTCTGCAGAGAGAATTTTGCCGCGATCCCAACTGTCTGTTATCAGCCTGCAGCCAGGGAGGAGAAATCAGCTGAGCTGCCTGCTCCCTGCACACAGATGTGTGTGTGAGGAAGTCCGTGGATCGGTCAATTTGGACCAATCAGCGGGGGCTTAACGTAACGGCTCCGCGGACGTAACGTAACGGCTCTTCGGGATTGGTCCATTTCGTTCCGGGTACCGCTTGACATCATGCCGTACCCGGAACGAAATGGAAGACTCAAATGGACAATGACGTATCTCCAACGAGGCGTTTTGGGGAGGTATTTTCTGTGTTAGAGTTTTACTCGCTACAGGGTGTACTTTGAGGGTTTTGACTCTGCACACCGTTTACATGCATAAAAACCTTCATAACACATAAGGGGACGGGTAATAACCGGAAAAGCATGACACCTCTCCTTTAACCTTTATTTAACCAGATAAAAGCATTGAGATAAAATCTCATTTTCATTGCTGACCTGGCCAAGAAGGCAGCAACGTTACACATAACACATAACACAAACATATAAAATACAGAGAACATAACTAAGAAAACAAAAGACGAAAAAGCAGTCACTACATTGTGCACATTAGGACAGTAAGAAAGGTACACTACTTATTACTGCAAGAGCAGCTGGTGGTGAGGACCTCAGACAACTTCAATTTAAAACAGGCTATAGAGACAAATGCCCTCAGTTTAAGGCTTGATTGAAGGTCATTCCAAGACCAAGGACCATAATGAAAAAGACTCCTTTTTCCAGCCTCAGTCCGCACAGCAGGAACCTGGACCCGTATCCAGGCACTGGATCTGAGGTTGTAAGAGTCGCATATACATGTAAACCCAGCCGAAAAGACATTGTGTCCAGTAAAGTCTGCTTGAAATGATCTTCTTTGTTGTACCTCTCACATCTTAATCTCATATTTACTCCTTGAACATTGACTCTGATCCTTTAGCTCAGGGGTCTCAAATTCAAGGCCCGGGGGCCAAATCCGGCCCGCGACTTCATTTTATGTGGCCCTGCAAGAGCTTGCAAAGAATATAATACGTTTATTATACGGTTACAGGCCACTTTACAGAAGCAGGTTGCCCATAAACTACATGTCCCACAATGCATCTCGTTTTGTGACATGTGCACTGAAGAGACTTGCAATGATTTGCCCTAGACTTCTGCTTTCAGACGTAGTTAATTACTAAGTTATTATCCTATCCGATAATAATCCAATTCAGAGGCAATAATGTAATATAATACATTATTTTATATATATATATTTATATAGTTACAACCGGCCCTTTGAGTGCAACCTTTATGCGAATGTGGCCCGCGATGAAATTGAGTTTGACACCCCTGCCTCCATGTTCCATAAACGTCATGCTAATAGTTGATTGACTTTAAACTGCATCTTCGTCCTCTCTGCAGTGCCTCTGTCTGCTCCTGACAGTGTGCAGGTCATGGTACACAACAGCACTCTGGCAGAAGTGCACTGGGAGCCGGTCTCCTCCCCCTCTGTCAGAGGTAAACTGCAGGGATACAAGGTACTGTTTTTACCTTTCATAAATGATTCATTGCCTGTACATTCACTTCACAAAATAGATGACAATTTAAAGATGACCAAAGGAGGCATAAACGCATATTGGTTAGCCTCATAGGATGTTGCACCACAGGAATGGTAACCGTTAATTAGATTCCCATAAAAGAACATATTCATTTATTTTAAAGGGAACCAAATACATTGAAGTGATCTGTGCTTTATTTGTTCCGTGTTTTCAAATTATGAGCATGAAGTAGGGCTGCTCAATTAATCGTATTTTAATCGCAATTACGATTATGGCTTGCAACGATTACGAAAACAACGTAATCGAAATAAAACGATTATTTTTTTATTATTATTATTACTTTTTTTTTTTTTTTCAAATTACTTTTTTATTGGTTTTTCAGTTGAATTAAACTTAAAGTTCAGGGTAATCAACTGTTAAAAACATACTGTTCAATTTTTTTTTCTCCAATAAATTGATGTTTTCAAAGTAAATGGATAATCGTTTTTAATAATCGTGATATCAATTATTGACCCAAATAATCGAGATTATGATTTTTGCCATAATCGAGCAGCCCTAGCATGAAGCCCTTTAGCCAAACTTGAATTAGCAGATAACAGGTCTTGGAAGTTCATAGAGGAGGTTTTAAGACTCTATCAAGACAGTTGTTTTCATTCTAAGACGAATGAACTCCTCATGTGTTTCCTGCAGGTTTACTACCGGCGGGAGCGTGGCTTTCACGACACAGAGGAGGCTGCAGAGCAGAGGGAGCAGGTCCTGACGTTCAGTGGGAATCGAAGCGAGGGACGTCTGCCGGGCCTGCAGCCCTACAGCCTCTACAACCTCACCATCAGGGTCCTCAACAGCAAAGGAGAAGGGCCTCCGAGCCCCAGCAAGAAGTTTGAGACCCCTGAAGGAGGTGTGTAAAACCTCACATAACAACCTAGTAATTGAAAAATCAATCCTGTGTTCAGAAATCAGAATCAGAATCAGAAACGGGTTTATTACCAGGTAGGTTGACACGTACGAGGAATTTGACTTGGTGTCTATTTTAAGAACACTATAATAACATTACAGAAAAATAAGTACAAATATATTAAAATAGAAAATAAAATAAAGCAGTCATTTACATTGAAATAGAATGCAATAAAATATGTGCAGTAAGCAAACCAGATATGATATATATTATATAATAACCAGATAATGCTACACAACCACCATCTTGCCTTCTTGTGTTGAATATAAATGCTACAGAATGGTCAGCATCCAGACCCTGACTGTTGTTTTGTTCATGTTTTCAGTCCCGGGGCCTCCATCTTTTCTGAATGTCGTTAACCCCAGTTTGGACTCTCTCACTCTGGAATGGGGCCCACCGATGAACAACAATGGACGCCTCGCTGGATACACACTGAAATACCAACCAGGTAGGCTCTCCAGCTACCAGACAAAAAAAAAATGATGTGTTTGCCTTGTTTATTCTTTCCATTTATTCCTAACAATATGGCTCCTGTGGCTCTGTGTCTGCAGTCAACACCACGAAGGAGCTGGGGCCGGTGAAGAGCATGTCTTTCCCAGCCAACGAGACCAGTATCACCCTGGGCTACCTGAACTCCAGCATGCTCTACAAGTTCTACCTAAGCGCAAAGACAATCAAAGGCTCTGGCCCCATCATCACAGAGGAGGCCTTCACTGTCATGGACACAAGTGAGTTATTTATAGCTTCATCTGTAGCAGATAACAGGAAGAGGTCAATGTCCTGAATCAGTGGTGTTTAACCCTAGTGCTGTTTTCCTATCAACTTTTGTCCTACATAGTATACAGTGTAAAATATCATTTTAAGCAAACGTTATTCTGCCCTATTACAAGTATTGCTCTTATTTTGGGAAATGTATGGTTAATAGACCTCATTTACACTTGAAAAAGGCACAAATATTGAATTATTTAATAATTTGACCCCAGAAGATCGCATTTTTCATGCATTTGAATGAAACCCAAACCTAATGGAAGTGATCATAATTCTCTTCTCACGAAAAACATAGTCTACAGGCACACAAGTTATTTTTCTGGCACTACAAACCTATAAAAACATTTGGAAACGGGTCAAACTTTACTCGAGGACAACAGGAAGGTTAAGGAAACAAAATATGGAGTGCATGGGTAAACGTCACAGTGCTCTGACTGATATCAAGGCTACCTGTGAGCTTAAACGCACACGCATCCTACTGCTTTTCACACCCTTCTTTCTCTTTTTCTCTCTGAAGCTCGTACTCAGCCCACTGTAGAGACAGGCAAAGGTAACCCGAGTTTACCACTGGAAGCACCTGCATGTTATTCACACCACCGAAAAACAGCATAGCATAGTCTTTAGTTAAATTACCCATGCATGGTACTTATAATAGCATGAATAAATAGGACTAGTGTGACAGACTTCCATGGCATCTGTAAGCAAACCATGCTTGTGTCCGGTTCTGAGATATCATAGGTTAAAATCATAGAATGTATATATAAAATACCCATTTTTTTTAAAGCTAGTTCTAGTTATGCTTGCAGTTGTTACCTCTTCAATCGAACATGTTTTCATCGGAAGCCTCACGCATGACGCTTGTGAATGCCTCAACACAGTACTAACACATTATGTACCTGTTAATGCTACAAACGGAGCATTTTTTTATATAAAATACAAGCATTTGATTAAGAGTATATGCATGCTGCAGTGCGTAACACCCCTCGAAATCTCAAATGTAAGGAGGTTTTGCACCAGGTTTTAACTCGGCATGTCAGTAGCAACTTCTCCCTGAAATCAGTGCCTCTACAGTTCACTCTATGCTGCTTCCTGTTGTTGTCTCACTCTTTTCAATGTTCTTTCAGGCCCTACAGAGCCCCCTCACCCAACCTCCCCCATCACTCAGTCTCCGCCTCCCCTGTTTCACAAGGGTATAAAAGCATATATATATAAGCACTCCCTGTATCCCCTTCTACCTCCCTGAATACCTTCACGTTATTCTGCGAAAAATGGTCGATCTCAGCAAAAGAAAGTCTTTAAAATATTAGTTTGATTAAGAAAATGAAGTGGATCTAAGTGATTTCTGTTGGATCTTTCTCTAACTGATTCTTAATTGACTTGTTTTAGGAGGATTAAAATAAGTCCTCTGTGAGACGGCCATTTTGTGCAGCTATAACACTGAACTGTTTCGATGTAAAACTGCAATCTGTTATTTTATCAATTCACAGACATAGGGTTTGGGCTATATGTGAAAACCCTATGAGATCTGACTCAAAGTGAGCGACAATTTCACTTTCTTTTGATCAGATCTCAAGAAATATTTCACATGTGTCACTAATCCTAGTCCACAGTGTTGTCGTGTATTGTATATTGCAATTTTTTTCTACCACATGACTGTAAATTGTGTCTCTGGTCAGTCATACAGTTTAAAAAACCCTAAACCTAAGAGTATAGATGGAGTTTCTTTGTATTTCTTGATTTGAATTATACTGCTGGTAGGCCTCAGGTTACAGTAGCAGCTTTATGCTAAATACTGGCATATTGGATTTCAATGTTATTTCTACTTGCTCCTTTCTTCAAAAGCAGTTTAATTTCATAGTAAAGGCTTTGTAAAATGGGTACATTTATAATTTAAATTACAACTCTCTCTCTCTCTTGTGTGCTCAGCGCCGCCTGTCGGCCCTGCGTTCGGCAATGTTAACACGTCTATGTCGGAGGACGGTGCGGTGATCAGTTGGGATTACTTTGGACACCATAAGAATGTTTATGTGGAATATATTGTAGAAAACAGTAAGGCTTTCGCTTTGTCTCTCAAAACACGAGTGAATGCGTTAAACGGCTGTATTATAACATAATCAGTCGTTTAAATGCCACCATTAAAATAATTCTTCTTCTTCCTCTTGAATCCGATTCCTCTCCATCCGCTTCACCGACCTCAGGTAAAGACGACTGGAAAAAGGAGTTGGTAAACGGCTCCCACTGGCATATGATAAAGGGGTTAAAGCCGGGGACGTCCTATAAGGTGCGAGTGGTCGCTAGAGACCCCTCCGACCCGACGGTCCACAGCACAGACGAGGTGCTGGTGGCGGTGCCAGGTGAGGCGGCATGCCTCCGATCCACCATCGTTGTGTTTTCATTTCAATTAAATGTTTCCATCCATCTCTCCGTTCTCACCATCCGACATTCCACTCCATCCGTTAGTTTGTTAGTGTACAAGCACGTCCGAAGTCGTACTGATCCATTAAAATCACCACTAAACAACAATTATTTAACTTTTTTTGTCGTTATTAAAGGCCTAATCATTTATATTAACCCATTTTTAATTTTGATTTCTTCCTTCACAGCTTTAAGTGTTGCTCCGCATGAACAAAAACAGGTTCCACCATTTTTAGCAGCCATGATTACAATTTGGACTGACAGCCCTGCTTCCTGTTTGCCTCCATCCCCCCCCCCGTGTGTGTGTGTGTGTGTGTGTGTGTGTGTGTGTGTGTGTGTGTGTGTGTGTGTGTGTGTGTGTGTGTGTGTGTGTGTGTGTGTGTGTGTGTGTGTGTGTGTGTGTGTGTGTGTGTGTGTGTGTGTGTGTGTGTGTGTGTGTGTGTGTGTGTGTGTGTGTGTGTGGTGTGGTGTGTGTGTGTGTGTGGTGTGTGTGTGGTGTGTGTGTGTGTGTGTGTTGTGTGTGTGTGTGTGTGTGTGTGTGTGTGTGTGTGTGCGTGTGCGCGCGCGTGCGTGTGCGTGTGTGTAGCTGTACCCAGTCGGCAGGTAGACATTGCCACCCAGGGCTGGTTTATTGGCCTGATGTGTGCCATCGCCCTCCTCATCTTGGTCCTGCTCATCGTGTGCTTCATCAAGAGGAACAAGGGTGGCAAATATCCAGGTAATGCTCACATTATAAGTATGTACTGTAACGTCAAGCGTATTGATATTGATGATGCAAATTAGGGCCATTTTTGGTTTAAAAAAAGCCCTATCTCGTACAATTACCTATATAAGAAATGGATGTATGCACTTTTGAGATAAAGTCATCAAACGTGCGTGTGATCTGCAGTGAAAGAGAAAGAAGACGCTCACCAAGACCCAGAGATCCAGCCTATGAAGGAGGATGATGGGACATTTGGAGAGTACAGGTGAGGAGTGGAAAAAAAACACTAAAATACAGCGAAGATGTTCATTCATTGAGACCTGACTGTTTGCAGGACATTCACTGACTGTTTGCAGGACATTTCTGAGCACTATTGTGTTCTTTTTTGACCAAAAGAATGTCTGGAAATCATCAACAAAGGCTTTGTACAATGGAAAATATGTCCAATAATTCAACTGCTTAATACAAATTCCATTATTGTGTTCACAGTTTCAGGTTTTTCATCACTTGTTCAAGTTTTTCTAGGAATTCTATGAGTTTTGTGACACAACCCTTGAGCTTTACAGGGACAATTTTGACTTTATTACAACCTCAACTGCTTAAAGTCTATAATAAACTGTGTAGCCAAAACACAACACACTCAGACCATGAGACTCTTTAAAACCAGTATTTTAATCGCATGGTAATTGCAGCCAAAAATCATTCAATGTTATTGAGCCCTAGACTTCTCCAGGATTGTAAAAGCCTAAAATATGACACAAAGTAGTTTCTATGAGTGAAATGTATTTTTCTTTTAAAGGGGCCGTATTCTGCTTTTTGGGCTTTTGTCTTTCCTGTAGTGTGTGATATAGGTTTTAATGCATTTAAATGGTCTACAAAGCCAAAATCCCAAAGTTCGCTTCAGAGGGAGCTTCTCTCCCACTGTCCCCCCCTTCCTGAAACACCTCCAGCAATTGACCAATCAGAGCAGACTGGGCTCTCAGACAGAGGGTGAAAATAGGGACTGCAGCACAGGCAGTATGAGAAAAATAAAGAGCTTTTTGAACATTAAAGCATGGAGACATGTCCCAGTAGAGACACTACATACAAATACGAACCTGAGAATCAGCAGAATATGTCCTCTTGAACTTGTCGTGGTGTCATTGTGCTTTAAATGTTCCCATACGCAAGCTTATGTCCTGTCTGTTCATAAAACAGACGCTCATTGTGGTTTATGAATTGCTTTTCATGTGTCCTTCCATTCTTATCTCTGTTTTGTTGCCGGGTTTAGGTCTATGGAGAGGTAAGGCGAGATGTGGTAAAAACAAGCATGCATAAAACCTCAAGCAATGTGACTAAAAGCAACCGATCAGTTTTACTATGTCATCATACTGACTTATAGTCAACATCATAACCACAGTTATAACATTAACACTCAACATGAACAAATACTGCTTCTACTTCCCTAGTTCCTTCCATTGAATACAAATGCATTGAGCTTTAAAATGAAGTTGATATATATAATAGATTTTAGATTGTAGAGCTTGCCTAGTATTAACTAAAAAGGGATGTTTTTAGATCAAATGAAACCAGGTTTTATCTTTTGGGGGGGGGACTGAAAAATAAGTGCATTTTGGATGATTGCATGTCAACTGAAAGCATATTGGTTGATTTGAAGGTAAAGTATTGCAAGAGACTGAACGGCACGCTTTTGGAAAATTCTCTCTAGCAGTGGTCACCAACTCTAACCCAGACTGAAAGCAGCACTAACACTAGAGTTTAGACAATACCATACTATAGATGTAGCTGAGCTGCTCCACTGTACAAGCTCCATGCAGAGTGATGCTCCAGGACATTGTTACTGTACAATATAGTAAGCCTTTAGTTAGAGTTTAATTTAAAGGGAACATATTCCACCTTTTATATTGAATCAGTAGTGATATTAATTGTAGTCAATTAAAGCTATTAATTCCTTATTTCATTGATGTTGCACATTTGTAGCAAACTGTGCACACAACAGCAATATATATATTCCTAATTTCATACAGTAAATGGGGTAGTCGTGCAGTGGAGAAGCCAGATTACTCTTTGTGGCATCAGGGTTTCTGACCACTGCAGAAAGATCAGCAATCTTCCACAAATGATCTTCTCAATAACCTTCCTTCCATCTCTTTCGCAGCGACACGGAGGACCACAAGCCGCTGAAGGGCAGCCGGACGCCGTCCAACGGGACGGTGCGCCGCGACGAGAGCGACGACAGCCTGGTGGACTACGGGGAGGGCGGGGACGGACAGTTCAACGAGGACGGATCCTTCATCGGCCAGTACAGCGGCAAGAAAGAGAAAGACACACACGAAGGGAACGAGAGTTCGGAGGCCCCGTCGCCCGTCAACGCCATGAACTCCTTCGTCTAACCGAGGGCCCCCGAGGCTGAGATACACCTCGTCACCTTGGCAAATGTGACCATCCCTGTGGTGACAGTTGCTAAGGTGACAGTCCACGGTGGCGGTCACTCCGGTGACTTCCTGTCACCAACACTGCTGGCACGCCCTCATCATCACCACCCCCCCCCCCCCCCCCCCCTCCACCAGCCCCTGTCTGTCACACTGTGACCTCCTCCGATCTACACACACTCAACAAGGCAAACACATCCCCCATGATAAGCGTCAAAAGAAGGTGTGAAGCGAGGGATGTGAGGACTCAGAGAGGAGGGAAGGAGAGGAGGAAGCAATATAGAAAAGCAGAAGGAATGTACCAGAGACTCGGCAGAAGTGTGTGCGTGTGTTAGTGCCATTTCCTTTGCAAACACGATGTATCCAAATATATATTTTATCAAAGTACACTACATGACCCGCAGGTAGGCAACGAATCAAAACATCTGCATGGAGTAAATCATGATTCTATTAAGCATTCCCCCCCCCCCCCCCCCCCCCCCCCCCTTATGCCGAGGTGATCCGCTTGTTGAGACCGTATATGGTGCACGCCTACTAGCGACTGGGTATTATTGTTTTGTTTCTTCAGTCAAAGTGTTAAATGGCGTTTAATATAAAGAGAAAAAACGGCGGCGTTGTCTGACAGCGCTGCGGAACAGTGTGACACTAAGTAGCTAGTCTTTTTGAGACGGATGAACTGTTTGTAAATATGTAATAGAATAAGAAGAAAACTATATTTCAAAGTCAGGGTTGTCCATTTGTATTCATTGGAAACCTGGCTCCAACACTTCGGTCACCAGCCAGACAACTAGAACTCCCACACTTATTCCCGCTTTCAGCCTCATGATTTTCAAAGTTCGCTTGCTTTTGTTTCCTCTTCCAATCTGTTTCTTTGCACCTATGCTATACTGAGCACTCGTTGAACACAAGCCGAGCTGTGATTGGCCCAGTTTCATGTCAAGTGCTTCCACCCCTCTAATCGTGGTACTGTCAGAGATACCCCAACACTTTCCCCGATAGCATTTCCACTTCTGTAATGGCAGAGAAAAGGACGCAGTTACATATGATAAATGCACCTGAACAGGGTTGAGTGGTACGCACTTTGGGATGTTTAGATTTTGAGAAGCTCTCAGCACGGTTTCTAGTGCCTTCGTAGATCCATAGAGTTACATCACTCTCCATACGCCGCACCGACCTGGGATCAGTAGTGTTCTGAGGAGTCCATGAATACTTTGCATACACAATACTACCCCACTTGAAAGGCAACTTTGAAATAAAATGCTTATTACATCCGCTATTTTGAGCTGTGGTCAACGGTTAAGTAAAGAAGTCCATGTGGGCTGAAATCTACGGTGGCCTACCAGTGCCAACGCGCTACAACGACCCAAAACACTTGCATTAGGAGAAATGTGCTACGGCTTCAAAAACAATGCACATATTAAAACCCAAATATGCCAAAACACATGTAAATGAAGAAACGTCTTCTACAACTTGACAACGTTTAGCAGCATTTAGAACACGTTCACCATCTTGATGAAACATGCGCAGCGTTTATTAAAAGCGCTGCATATACAAAACCCTTCAAGAAGCTCTAGACACAACGGAAACGGGGACTGTCACTATCGCAAAGTTAGTCTGTTTCATAATTGTAAGTGTTTTGTCAGTATATTTGTAATGACTACATTAGCTACGTTAGCTATCTAGCTTACAGTAAATCGGCAATAATATTGGAAAGGAATCATGAGATCGAATTGTTAAAATAAGCCGATAAGACTTAGGTTTCAGGTACGTATCCAACATCTGTGACAGTTTTTGAAACTTCAGTGCGTTTCTCCTAATGGAAGTGTTGTGGGTTACGCGTAACAATGGTGTCGGCCACCGTAGGAACTATTTAAAAAGGGCATAGTGGAGAATATCATTAAATTGATTTTACCAAATAATTCAAATTCGATATTGTGACGATATCATAGGGTTGACTATTGGTGCTTTTACAAAAATATTGACCCAATTGGATTCTACTTTTCTGTAATGCAGCCTTTGAAACCCTTCTGATACCAACACCATATTATCTCTTACATCTCAATATAATATTTAAAAAGTGACGGTCGTACACTGGCATTAGTTGCAAGGAATAATTTTCAGCTACAGATTATTATGATCTTGTTGACAATCAAACACCCTTATCGTACCGCCAAATCACACCATGCAGCTTGGAATTTAAGGAAATGTCAGAAATAATAAAATTAAGCAGAGTCAGATCATGGACACCTCATGAGAAGTCGTCATGTATCCAACATCCTCTTCATGTCGCTCCAACAGCACTGAACTACTGCCAACACACTCACCAGGTAACTGCCAACAGGAAGCAGACTTCTCTTAAGAGCGGGGCGAACTGTCACTGGTAGCACTTAGAAAACGCAGGGGTGGGGAAAATGATGCTGAATGTGGAAACAAGTGTATGTGTTTATATGAATGAAAATATTGCTTGTTTCACTGCAACACACTGGTGACTTTGGTTCATGCATTTAACCTTATATCTGTGTATGTCGTCACGTTCTGAGCGCAGCACTCGGTGAGTTTTTCTATTCCTGTAAATTAATGTGTGAATGCTTGAGTGCACGAATGTGTGTGTGTGTGTGTGTGTGTGTGTGTGTGTGTGTGTGTGTGTGTGTGTGTGTGTGTGTGTGTGTGTGTGTGTGTGTGTGTGTGTGTGTGTGTGTGTGTGTGTGTGTGTGTGTGTGTGTGTGTGTGTGTGTGTGTGTGTGTGTGTGTGTGTGTGTGTGTGTGTGTGTGTGTGTGTGTGTGTGTGTGTGTGTGTGTGTGTGTGTGTGGTGTGTGTGTGTGTGTGTGTGTGTGTGTGTGTGTGTGTGTGTGTGTGTGTGTAGCACATGCATGCTACTTAGTTAGGCGTGCGTGATGTATAATATTGCTTTTCCATGGATGATGGTCTATTATTCTGATGTCTAATCCAAGAGCTTTTTTTTTTTCTCCAGATTTTCACTTCTTAGGTTAATCATAACTTGCATCAAGTTTTTACGATGTGTCAGCTTTCCTCGTGTAGATATTTTTGTTGTATCTTGTAAATAACGGTTTGACTTGAGAGTGGACTAGTTGAGGTCAAAAGTGAGAGCTTGACCTCAATCTGCCCTGTTGCATTATGGGTTAGGAGGGCGTTGTGTGAGACGAGACTATTTACAGTTTTCACCTTTTCTTTTGCTGTGAAATTTCTTTTAGTTTCTTCACTTTTATTTGAACTTGTCAGGTGAATTTGCAAATGTTTAGCCTATCAGGTATCAAAAGGAGATTATTTAACTTGTGACTGAGCTCTTGTGGCACCTGTATTGTTTCTGTCTCAGACAGTTCATGCACCTTTTCTGTATTTTTTATAAAAAGGCACTCGCTTAAACAGGATGTGACATTTCGAACACATCTGAGCATCTAGTTTACGATGCTGGAAAACTGTCGTTCCAAATTACACAACATCCTTTTTAAGAGTGTGCATTTAAAAAAACAAAAAACAAAACTGTGATATGAGGGAGGACGTGTATGCGGACCGGCACATTGGAGTGTGAATCCCCATGGAAACGATGTTCTAGTGACTGGTGGACATACAGTAGGATATACAGTATATGATATGATATAATATGACATTCTGGTTAATGTTGAAGCTACACGAGAAGCATGAAAGGCTGTCGAAATGGTTTACTCAACAGTATAATATTGCAAAAATATTTTGTATTTTAAATGAACTTTAAAAAAAAATGAAATAAATGTTGGTTTCAGGATTTCAAATCTGCTTTTGTTTTAGGGTCATGCATGCAGCACAACATGGAAAAGTGTGTGTGTAGCACCACCTAGTGCACAAAAGTGAGAATGATGTTTGAGTGATTTTATCTGGAAAAAAAACCCAGAGATAAACCAGCGAAAATTAATCCCTGGATTAATCTAGATCTGGCGTGTGGGTGCATGTCTTCCATTGTCAAACAGAATATAGCTTTACAACATACTTATATCGTTTTTCAAGCAAATAATTATTCATTCATGATCTTAATAAATTGGAAATAAGACAGTTAAGGATTGTAAATCAAAGCGAATGATTCAAATAATTATTCAATTGTATTATTAACAGTAATTTGATTCTTCTTCTTCTTCTTCTTACTCTTCTTCTTCACAATGTGGCTGATATGGGGAAAAGGCAGTCACTGATATTACTGGTGTTGAATGTGTCATAAATAATACATTGGTCTGGAGGTCATTTATGAAGCACAGCACGTGGTGGGGAGTGAAATATGGTTTCCATGAAGCATCCTTTTCTCTGGTATTTTCATCCTTTTAAAAAAACAGTAGTCAATTTACAGGTACTCAAATTAGGGGGTTAGATACTTACTTAACCAAAAGAAGAAGAAATAATAGTCATAATAATAATAAAAAATAACATTCTGTTACTGTGACTTAAATTGCCCAGTTTTTAGGAGGAATATCTGGTATTTTTGTTCATTTTAAGGGTTGAAAAAAATAGTGATAATATATTCAAATCTGTACTTTTATATTTTTCCGAAGCATACTCTTAATATGCCTTATTTAGTTATTTTGAGTGTGCAAAGACTAGCACTTCCTGTTGTGGTATTAAAGCAATCCAATAATATTCTATGATGTGCACATTGAACCTAAATGGTTTTCCATGAGAGGATTTATTGCATGTCAGGGATCCGCAGCAGCATGATGCCCGCATCCCTCCCATCCTCCCTCCTCTCCGCAGTGGACCAATCACAGCCTCGCTCTCGCTGCCACACAGAGCAGTCACTCAGCAGCTTTCCTCCAATAGAAAAGTTCGATCTGAACGGGACAGCTCCGGCGGGTGGGCTGCGGTTCGGGATCCAGGTGTGCCATAAGACCGAGAACTGAGATTTCCCATTCTGCCTCAAAGGTAAGGAAACGACACCTCATGCGAGAGTGCGTGCATGACCTAAAACTGGCTCTCGTGTCCGGGCTGAGTGGGGATAAAGTGGGATGTGAGGGGTGACATGGACCGGCTCAGGAGTACCGCAATGCAGAGCAGAGCATCACCGGTGCCGCTCACTCGCCATTAGGCTGAAGTGAATTAAGCAGCTGCGCAGATACTTGTACAGGCCGAATGACTGCGCTGTTTGATCAGAGGTTGCTTTCGCTTCCCAAATGTATGTTTATGCAGAGGCAAGGTGAAAGTGTGCACACTGCATGCGTCAAGGGCGCAGAGAGATGCATGTGTTTTTAGTAAAGGGCAAACTGTCCTTCAAGGGCGAGGGGGCAACTCCCTTAAAAATCTGTTTTAATTTTAATTGTTTCCTGTACTGTGTTTGCATAAAAGCTGCAGCTATTGAGTTATAAAAGATCATTAAGGCAGATATTATTGAAACTGCAAATCATGATGCACATATTGGATGTTTTAGGAATAGCTATACATATAATTTGTCTTCCCCCGGTCCATAACAGAAACAATGCAACATGTATAGGAGTCCAAAAATAATATAGCCACCCCCCTCCTTTTTTTAAATGTCAAAAAGATTCATCAAACTGTCATGGCTGCATCAGAGGAAATGTCTCCCATCACATCTTCAGCAGTGCTTCTATAATGACATATTTAAGCTTTTCACCACTTCAATCAACTAGCCCCAAACCTAGAAAACTCAGATTAAAAATGCATGGGGTATGCTTTTGTTGAATCCAAACGTGACTTTGAATGTGATTTTGAGTGCGGCCATCAAACCCTCATAACGTTGTTGTTCAGGCGGTCAGTGAGACACTGCTTAATACATGAGCTGACCTACATTTCTCCAGTCTGTCCAAAGAGGATCTGTGATGGGATTATCTCTGGGGAAACGCATGAAAACACACTCTGATCAATTGATTAGAGATAGTGGTGGAACAGATTGCTGTGGCGTTAATCTAAGAAGCAAAATCTGTATATAAAAGTGTCATTTGCACGATTGATTTTTAAAATATTTTTGACCTGCAATACTGTCTCACGGCTGGTATGCTGGTATCATATTAGTGTCGAGTCATCACTTTAGGAGTCAGTGCTGCAGTGTGTGTGGATGTGTGTACATTTGGTACTCTCTGGTTGAGGCAGACATGGCAGCTGAGGCTCATGGGAAGTCTGTCTGTGCCTTCTCATTCTGTTTCTCACATCCTCAATGACTCAGCAACTGTGAGGGTGTCTACCAAAGCTAACTAATGTGGGATACACAGGCTACTGTAGATGCTAACAATGGTTAGCTCAACAACTTCCTTTTTCTTGAAATTGATGCTAACATTTAGCTCAAGGAGCCATGGTTAGCTGGAATTCATTCATTCATAAAGTATAATTGAACTGTGTCTGCATGTACAACTGATTGTACTGTAGGAATACATGCAATTATTAGCTGTTTTTTAGTTTTATGTATGTTTGACTGTGTGTGTGCGGACCCCAGAAAGAATAGCCAATGCTAATGAAACACAGCTTTTCACAAGCATGTTTTGTTTCTTTAATATAATAATAATAATGGTCCAAAGTGAAGCTGTTTTTCTCTCTTCAGTGTCTCTGATCAACCTTAACCTCTGACTTTGTTGGAAGATTAGTTTCATATCAAGGCTGAGCTTTAAGCTGACTGTTAAGCGCAGAGGTTTAGTCCCAAATTCAATTAATCAGAATTCTACCAAAGTCAAAACTGAGGAGTTAAATACCCATAGTGTAGGAGGTGTTCTGTTGACACGTGTGAAAAGCAGCTGAAAACTCTTTTATGTAGACTGGCGTTTGTCTCGCCTCGTGGGGTTTGTAATTTTGGTGTTTTTTGTTAAGGTTTGTTGTTACTGATGTTGTGTCTTTCACTGTGTATGGTCTTATTATTTATTCTGTGAGGCACTTTGTGATGTTGTCTGTGGCAGATTCAATGAAATGTGCTTAAATAGAGGCAAAATGCTATTGTAAAGTTACACCAAACATACATGTAGCTTGTGTATCATAGGGAACATTGTTATTGTAAAATACACCAAATGATCTTTTTTGGATCCCTTAAACAGCTGATGTTAGTTTCTTCAATATAGTTGACGTAATTCAACACATTTGACTGGCTTTGAATAATAGCTTTAACAGTAGTTGAATCAGGAAGTGGAGGGAAATTAATTGATTTGTGCTATACTTAAAAAATGACATACGGTATAATATTTAGGATGGGGGAAGGGGTTATTTTTGATAGGTTTGAGTCCAGGTGAAGTTGTTGTCAAATGTGACTCGAGTCCATACCTCTGCCCTTCCTGCTGGATCTGTGCATGCCTAATTAAGACTGCACTGTATTTGATCGGTCTCCTCCCAGCTGGACGGTCCAGGCACGTCCAGCTGGGAGGAGACCGAGGGGTAGACCTAGGACCAGGTGGAGGGATTATACTGTATCTCTTCGCTGGCCTGGGAGCGCCTTGGGATCCCCCAGTCAGAGCTAGTTGATGTGGCCAGGGAAAGGAACGTTTGGGGCTCTCTGCTGGAACTGCTACCTCCGCGACCCGACCACGGATAAGCGGGAGAAGATGGATGGATGGATGGATGTATTTGATTGATGGCACCACGTTTCCCCCCCCTACCTCCTATGTCTCTAAATATCTCTCCCATGTGCTGCTGTCTGACAGAGAGACTGAAACACTGCAGTCGCTCTGCTGTTCCATCCTGCAGAAGTGATGTGTAAGCATGTGTGACGCAGCAGCAGGAGCTGTCTACGTACTGCAGTGTTCCCCTGCGTGTTGTTCGCAGACACACACACACACACGCACACACACACACACACGCACACACACACACACACACACACACACACGCACACGCACACGCACACACACACAGGCCTTTGTGTCTCCGCATGTGCTTGTGCAGTATTCTGCTGAGTCACACATGCTTAATCATTTATATGCAGCAGGGAAGATTCCATCTGCAGTGTTTCTGGTGTGGAAAATCCTGCACAGTCATCAGTGTGGTGTTATATCTCAGAGTGTTTTCATGATAAATTGTTTCTGACGGCTTAAAATATTTTCTTTGTGTCTCCTCAGCCCTCTCCAGTTCATGTCCTGTCCATCTTCTTCTTCTTTGCGTCCCTCTGCTCATCCTCCTAAATCACGCTGCTGCATTAAGTCTGGTTGTTGACCGTCATGGCTGCCGCTGCTGCTGTTCTACTCCTGGCTCTCTCCTCATCAGTCTCCCTCACAGGTAGGAAAATAAACCCCCTTAAGAATCAGAATCAGAATACCTTTATTTGTGCCACAGAGCAAGTGTTGGTTTGCTGACGTGACTTCTTTATCTCTTGCTTTGCAGTGGCGGTACTTTTTAACGAGCCTAGAATTTACGGAGGTGAGTTTCGTGGAGTAATTGCACATACGTTTCAGGGTGAGTTTTAAATCAGAGTGTCAGCTCATTTGTTATGTACACTTTGTCAGATGATGCTACTGGATACGGCCCCATCTTTGAGGAGGAGCCGGTGGATGTGGTGTACACTGAGGACTCTCCAGACGGCAGGATCTCCATGAACTGCAGGGCCCGAGCAAACCCCCCTGCTTCATACAGGTTAAACACAATGAAGAACATTTACTGAACATACAGGATGAACAGTGTTTATACCACAAGTACTGGGTATGACACATGTGGGTCAATGTCTTTTGGACAATTATGTTGGATCAGCCAAAATACATTCAATCAAGTAGAATTTCTATGTACTTTAAGAACTTCCGTTTTCTCCAACGTTATACACTACAATATTTCATATGGAAATATTGTACCTTTTACAGCACTAACTCTAACTGTTGTCACGACCACCATATATGAAGGCAGCCATCGTACATTTAACATGTACAAATGATCTGATCATAAAAATGAAAATCAAGATTTCTCATAAAATACCGTGACAACATTAAAAACCTCCCAACAATATGTAACACTTGTTCATTTTGCATAAAGAATACTTTTACCTAGAACTTTAATATGGAGTTTTTATCTTTCATAGACACTCTGGATATTATGCCTAACAGATCAGAGTCCTTTTGGTTCATATTATTCTTATTGTAAGAATATTATTGCTTCCAGTTTTCCCTTATTATTATTACCAATTTATTTCGAATTATTTTTGTTTTGTGTGCTTAATTTTGTTTCTTACCTGAGGTCGAGGCAGGGTGGGATGTTTAAAATAGAAAACTGAAAGTGAGCATTATGTTTCTGTCCCTTTCTTATTCTGTAATTGTATTAAAAAAAATACTTTTACCTTTGATTCTTGAAGCTAAAAAGCTATGTTGTGCACTTTCACTGAGGCAACTTTTGTGAGACTTTGACATCTAGCAAAGTGTTTTTACATCGTACTATTGCAATTTTACTTAAGTATCTCAACCTTTCTCCCCGCCTGCTGCTAGGTGGCGCCGTGATAACTGGGAGATCAAGCTGATGGAGCAGCCGGACGAGCACTACAGCCTGGTGGGGGGGAACCTGGTGGTCACCAACCCCAGACAGAAGAAACACGCCGGGACGTACATCTGCGTCGCCAGGAACATCTACGGCACCGTCATCAGCAAGGAGGCCAGGGTCAAGTTTGGATGTGAGCATGTTAAACATTGTTTGTTATAAAGATCCAAGTCCTTTCTCCAATATAAAAACAAAACAAAACCTAAGCTAAAGTGATTCCCGAATATTTCTGGGCCATTTAGAGAACATTAATGATTGTCATAATTAATCCTAGTGTTAGGAGCAGTGGGCTGCCATTATGTACGGCACCCGGGGACTTTGTCCAGGATGATTTGATTTGATTTGATTTGATTTGATTTATTTCGAACGTGTAAAACAATAATAAAAAATAATAAAAAAATGAGAATTATGATACTGTACAAACTTAAGCAGAATCAAATTGATAAACAAACATATTATTGACTTACAAATGCTATATAAACAAATGATCTACCTAATTACACATCCGAAAAGGGGTGGGAAGAAGTTTACACTGATTTAATCCCAACCCCAAAATGTACATCTAAATGTTTGTCTACATTGAAGAAGATTGAACTTATTGTCATTACGTAGTACAGGTACTATGTAACGAAACGGTTTCTCTGCATTTGACCCATCCTACTGTTAGGAGCAGTGGGCTGCCATTATGTACGGCACCCGGGGAGCAGTGTAGGGAATGGTGCCTTGCTCAGGGACACCTCGGTAGCACTTGAACTGGTGACCTTCCAGTTGTCAAGCCAAGTCCCTATGGACTTCGCCACCACCACCGCCCGATATACAATACATACAATATACATTTACAATTCTCAATAGATTATATAATTATTACTAATAATTGTATCGTCTGATTCCTTTTTATAATAATAATAATAAAGCTTTATTTATATAGCACTTTTCATACAACACGTGCAGCTCAAAGTGCTTTACAAAATGGCGACACATCACAAGTTAAAATCAAACAACAAGAAATTCCCATCAGATTATTTGTTAAGAACTTTAAAAAGGTACATGCAACAAAATATAACATTTTATCAGGTTGATAGACACAAGGAGGTAAATGTATGATAATTTAAAAAAAAATGGTTTCTCTCTGACAGAGAGTCGATGCAACAATATAAAATATAAAATATATTATAAAACAAAGTGAACATATAGGTACAACAGAAATACAAATAAAAATGAAAATGAAAACCTATAAAATAAATAAAACAAGACTAAAATAACATTTTAAGTGGGGGGTTGCTAATACAACATTTATAATTCCTGTTTGTTTTATTTCTCCTCATCTCTGTATCATGTAGTTGTGGAGGAGTTTCCCCAGGAGGAAAGAGACCCGGTTTATGTGAAGGAAGGACAGGGGGCCGTCCTGCTGTGTGTCCCCCCCAAAGCCTGGCCACGTACGTTCATTTCTCCATGCCTAAATTAGAAAAGCCAGTTTTCTGGAGATGAGATACCAATAACAACCTCTGTGTTTCCCCTTCCAGAGGAGGTGACCTACCGCTGGATCTTCAACGAGTTCCCGGTGTTCCTGTACACGGACCGCCGCCGCTTCGTCTCCCAGAAGAACGGGAACCTGTACATCTCCAAAGTGGAAGCTCAGGATGCGGGAAACTACTCGTGCTTCGTGTCCAGCCCCATCACCGGGAAGAGCGTCTTCTCCAAGTTCATCCCCCTCATCCCCTTACCCCCCGAGGATGGTGAGCACATACTAGCTCTGAAAACAATTATAAACCTCATTCCTATGTTGAATGATGAAGTACCAAAAACAATCACAGAGAATTGCATGCACACAATCACTAACTAAGTACATTTCTTGTATTATTTGATGTCTTACTTCAACATAATTGTACTTTACTTGAGTTTGTCCATGTAATGCTTCATTATATTTCTATTCCACCACATGAGCAAATATTCTACTTTTTACTCCATTAGATTTACCTAACGAAATATCTTTTGGTTCTTGACTCATACAGTAAAACAAGACATTTAAAGAGATTTTAAACATTTTTCTGACAATCTGTTGACCAAACAATTGATCATTCTAGGAAATAATGAGTCATGAAAATAATCGTTAAATGCCACTCTACAATGTTGCTATTATCTTTCAGTATCCTTCATTTATACTAGGAGACTGTATGATTAACTAGAACCTTATTTAAGATGTATATGGATAATATACTCCATGTATGTAAAGTGCAGAAGGGTTATTTTAAAAGTGTTGCATTATTAAAGAATATTATAATATACTGTTTTTAAAACTGACAAATACATATATGTTTATAATATGTCGTCATTTGTGTAAAAAGTGTGGTGTAAAAAGTGTTGTTTATCCTCTTAGGTGTAATGGAGTAGAAGTATAAAGCAGTACCTAAAAATATACTTAATTCAATTCCACCTCCGCACACTATCTCGTCAAGTTTGAACATTTTGTTAATAATAAAAAATGTTTGCCTCAGGTGAGGAGAGAAAATACCCAGCAGACATCAGGGTGAAGTTTGCCGACACGACTGCCATGCTGGCTTCTAATATTACTTTGGAGTGCTTCGCTCTGGGAAAGTATGTTTCCTGTTTACTCAATGTACTGAAATAATGAGTTCTGAGGGCTTACAAGATATTTATATACTGGCACATACTGTAGGCACCTGTTCACTTCCTCTGTGTCCCCTTTCAGCCCCATCCCTGACATTGTTTGGAGGAAGGTGGACCACACAGACCTGCCGCCCAGTCATGAGATCAGCGAATCAGGAGCCGTGCTTCACCTGTACAACGTGCAGTACGAGGACGTCGGGGGGTACGAGTGTGAAGCCCTCAACACCAAAGGGAAGGACTGGCACAAGGCCTGGCTGTACGTGGAGTGTAAGTGATTGTCGTTGGCGTTGACCAATCACAACAGAGCTGGCCAGCTAACCAATCAGAGCAGACTGGGCTCTGGTTTCGGACAGAGGGTGAAAAGAGGTGCTGCAGCACAGGCAGTATGAGAAAAATAAAGAGCTTTTTGAACATTAAAGCTTGGAGACACAAAATACAAATATGAACCTGAAATGAGAATAGTATGTCCTCACTAATTATTTAACCCTAACCAAAATGATGACTAAATAAATTGGTTAATAAACCTTTTTCATGTGCATATTGGAGACTAAAATGCTGTTCATTTTTTTTGATTTGCTTAAATAAAAGTTAACAACACTGATCAGGGAATAAAGAAGGTTGGGAATCCAGGTCATATTTTGGCTAGACTAGATTGACTGAATAGTTAAATATAACCTGATGACTAAAAAACACCAAAGAAATCACAAATTGTTGTTAAACTAAAATAGTAACAGTTTTCTTTGACTAAGAGAAAACTAAAATGCCCACACTTAAGTATTTCATAATTAAGGATGACTTAATATGATCAAATCAAACAAGGACATTTGTACTAAGATTAAAACTTCACTAATAGCACTGCAGTTTTATATCAGTTGATGTTAAGATTTGTTAATTTAATTTCACTATGAACAGATAAAAAAAGGAAGCTATGTCAGCAGTTTAAGCACAATGTGTTGCAAAGAATAACTTTTTACTTAACTTCTGGCTAACTTAAGTATTTTTTAGCTAATCTAAACAGTTTTATAATCCTATATCAAATATACTGTATGTCCAGTAGGTATTTCAAAGGTTAACTGTTTAAATCTTTATTTGGAATTTGAAGTCTCTACCATTGATAAAATATTCCCCATTTCCCCCCATTTCACACCTTGAGTAGTTCCAGTCACCATTTCAAATGACTATATTGTGCATGTGTTTGAATATTGGGTTTATCTATCACTTTTATATCCCTGTAATTTGTTCAGCTGCTCCGGAGTGGGCAGAAACCATCAACAACACTCAGATCGACATCGGCTCGGAGCACACCATGCGCTGCGTGGCGTCAGGGAAGCCTTTCCCGTTCATCCGCTGGTACAAAGACGGATACATGGTCAGAAAATAGTCATATATTAAGTCATTCATTAAACAAAATGAGAGTACATGGTATTGACTTAGTATTTGGGTTGTGTCTGTGTGTTTTCCAGTATGGGAAAGGGGAGTTGAAGTTTTCCAGTCTCACTTTTGATGACTCAGGAATGTACCAATGTCTCGCTGAGAACTACTGGGGCATCAAATATGCCAACGCTGAGCTGAGGGTCATCGGTGAGACCTTTGAGGAAACCTTTCATTCATTATTTAATATCAGGAAGCACATTTGTAACACAGAAGTTATCATGAAATTGGGGCACTAAACAAGAGTTCACACCTTTATGGTTTCCCACAGCGTGTGCTCCTACGTTCGAGTTTAACCCCGTGAGGAGGCAGCTTCTCGGAGCTAAAGATGGCCGCGTGCTGATCGAGTGTAAACCACGAGCTGCTCCTAGAGCTAAGTTCACCTGGATGAAGGGCAAGGAGCTACTCTACAACAACTCAAGGTAAATCCTCATTTAAAGGTCCCCTATTATACTGTTGTTCATCAATATATTATAGGTCTCAGATATATACAAAACATGTCTCTGAAGTGTTTGGCTCCAAACACCAAACAGATCATTGCAGCATCCCATAATCCCCTCTGTTTCAGCCCTGTTTCCAAAGTGCTGATTCTCTGTCTGTTACTTCAGATGGAAATAAGGAGCCCCTCCCCACGCCCCTCTGAGAGATATTTGGTTAAAAAGAACACAATGGTGCTCTAGGAGGAGATTCAGGTGATAAGGTGGGGGGGTTACCTTGGTTGGTGATTGGCTAATGGTTACACAAGCCAAAAAATCGTTATGACATCATAAAGTGGGCAAAATCTGATCAGCTCATTTTCAGACAGGTTTTTATATAAATGGATCAGGACAAAAAGAGAGAGAATCTTTGTTCCTGAAACTTCCAGAATCTCTTTACACAGAGGGGACACATGCTGATGTATAACATTTATGAAAAAGTGGATTTTGCATAATAGGTTACCTTTAACAGTATTTAAAAGTGTTTATCACCTATCCTCTCATTGATGCAAGCTGCGTAGCTTTACTAATTGTGTTCTTTGTCAGGATTTCCGTCATGTGGGATGGGACTCTGGAGATCAAGAACTCCACGGAAAACGATGCAGGACTCTACAGCTGCTTTGCAGAGAACGACAGAGGAAAGGCCAACAGCTCTGGCTATCTCACTATCACAGGTCTGTGGACATGTGCATACTGTATAAGTGTGTGAACATATTTAAACCCTATTAACAAACAATTTCTCTGATTGTGGAAAAAATAATGCCATTCAATTATCTATAAGTACCTTTTTCACTTTCATCAAGTTGAATCTTTAATCAATCTCGGTCCTGACCAAAGCTATATTTTCATATTTGTTACGCTTTAAATGTCAATTTTTATATAATTCCATAATGTTTATAGACAGAAACACACACAGTTGTACTTATTTTCTCTATACTAAATCAGGGGGATTGTTTTTTTCACAGTCTGGGTCATGTCAATAATTAGTTGCTTTACACACTGCTGTGCTCCATTAAACATCAACATAACCCTAATGCAAACAAAATAAAAAGGGCACGAATGAGAAAATGGCTTTATTTGTTGGAAAAAAACACTCATCTAAAAAGATCCAGTCTGTATTTTGGCTACAACGTTTATTAAAGACTTATTTAAGTTGCTTAGTTGAGACTTCAAAAACAAATAACAAACTAAAACAACACACCTTTGCTTAAAAAGTACGTCATATGTATTAGCACAATCAAAAATGTGAGTTTTCTTGTTTCCATAGAGCCCACCATCATCACAGAACCACCTGAGGACACTGAGGTGAAGGTTGGTGATGAGGTGATCCTGAGGTGTGGCGCTTCATTCGACCCCATGCTGGACGTCACATTCATCTGGACCATCGACTTCAGGATCATCGACTTTCACTCTGAGTGGGAACACTACGAACGCGTTTTGGTAGGTAGCCTCATTATTTTAACATCTTACACTCACAAACCGTGTCTTGACACCCTCGGCTAATGAAATATATATTGTCTCTTGCACTCTCTCTTTCCTTTCCCCTCTCATCTCCATGTTTTTTTGCTTCCTGGTGTTCAGAGTGAAGATAGCAGCGGCGATCTGAGAATAAAGAATGTCCAGATTTGGCACGAAGGTCGCTACGCCTGCACCACTCAGTCAGTGGTGGACAGCGACTCTGCATACGCTGACCTCAAGATTGTTGGTACGTGCTTTGTTTGAGTGGATCATCGATGCCAGTCTAATATCTAACCGCAGCGTCAGCCATGTTGGTTTTATTTTGACCTTGAAAGTTTGTGTGTTTGTGTCCTTAGACAGATTTGTACGACCCCGATAACATCACGTCCTTGCAAGATACAGTCACAAAACTATACAGATGTGTGGTTTAGATCAAAATCAATGAGTAAAGGTGGCGAAGGTGCCATTTGCCCCCATACCTTACTCCCCTGGCTTGATTTGGCATTGTTGATCTCATCACACCAGCCATCTATGGTTGGTTGTTTTTTTTACTCTGAGCAAATGTACAGAAAAATAATAATCCATGCGTATTCCCTCCCTGATCCAGGTGTTCCTGGGCCTCCCGGGGTGATCCGAGTGGATGAGATCGGGGACTCATGGGTGAAGTTAATATGGACTAAAGGGTCAGAGCATAACAGCCCCATCCTCTCCTACACCATCCAGACCAGACACTTCTGGTCCCTGAATGAAGACGACTGGAAGGACGCCATCACTTGTGAGTACTGATTTATATTTGTTTTTATATTCGGGATTGTGGGAAACGGTATTTTCGATCTCTCTGTCTGTACACACAAACTGGAAGATTGACAATAAAGTTGACTTTGACTGACTTTTTGATACTGCTCACTGCCAGTAGGGGGCCATCTCGTGCTAAATCCAGCATTCTGACATCACGCCTGATTGCTTTAACCTGCAAATGAAGTCTACTTGCACCCAAACGAGAGACAGAAAATCAAACACAATTATTTTTAAGTCAACATACTATATGTGTCTCCTTAAGCTCCAACCTTTCTGGATGGCCATTCTGAGAGGGCAGAAGTCACAGGCCTGTACCCCTGGATGGAGTATTATTTCAGGATCATCGCCACCAACGAGCACGGCTCCGGGGAGTCCAGCATCCCCTCCCTCTTGACCAAAACCTGGGACGCTCGTAAGAAGAGAGAACTGACATCTGACATATTATTTTTTGTCAAGAATGAACATTAATGGCCTTTCTCTTCCTTCTCAGAACCAGTGGTTTCTCCCACTGATGTGGAGGGTTACGGAGGTAGAAACGGTGAGATCGTCATCACATGGACTGTAAGTAAGCCCTCAGTTAATGTAACTTGATCCAAAATACTGCTACAAAGTCTAAGGTGTATTCCTTTCCTTTACTCTTTCCACTCCTGACCCCTTAGCCTGTGGAGCCTTGGTATTTCTCCGGCAAAAAGTTTGGCTACATCGTGGCATTCAAGCCTCACGACGCGTACGACTGGTGGTACGAGACCATTTCGGACCCCGAGACGAGGCGGTACGTTCACAGGGACTCTTACTTCGTTCCCACAGAAGAAGATTTCCAGGTCAGAGAGTTTCAGGTGAAGATCAAGTCTTTCAACGCGAAAGGAGATGGACCATACAGCCTCACCAAGGTCATCTACTACCCAAGAGATGGTGAGGATTTAGTTTCAGCATGGTTTCATTTCAATGAGAAGAAAGGGAGGACATTAACGAATAGGGTTGACTAAAATGTTTTCTTTTCCCATCCATTTGTCTGTCCCCAGTACCAATAGAGTCTCCAACAGATATCTACGCCAGGCCTGTTTCCTCCACTGAAGCTCTGGTCTGGTGGTTGCCTGTGATGGACACTGGTACCGGCCTACAGCAGTACATTGAGGGATACCAGGTACACAGCTTTTACTCTCCAAGTTGCATACACTAACTAAAGATTTTGGTCTCAAATGTCTTAAGGCTTATGAAAGACATACTATCTCTTCACACAGAACCGGTAGACATTTTAAATGGTGACTAAGGTTGAAAAAACAAGTTAAACGTTTAACTTGTCAACACATTAGGCTCAAACTGCTGACATACCTGCCTTGTTAGTCTGCTCATACTGTAGTGCAATTAAATCAACAAATCACAGCACCTTAACCTCAACTACTATAAAACTGCAGAGCTAGTAACGATTGCTAAAGGCAACAAACTCAAACTAACTGCTGGTGGCAGAATATATCATTTTGGAGGTTACAGGACAACTAATGACTTAAGATTCTGCCCTTGCAAGGAGTACCATAACCAGTTTTCATTTGTAATTGTCTTGTAAATTACCCTGCATTCTACATGTGATTGCATTGACTTCATGTCTGTGTTAGCGAGCTAGCAGGGTATCAACAACACCGTAGCTGGGAGTTTTCACTCTTTATCCAGTGATAATAATTTCTTGCTCTCCAGGTGAAATACTGGAGAAAGTACGATGATCCGGAGCCAGGAGCACACCGTATATTTGTTTCAGCCTCACTGAACCAGACCCGGTTGGAGAACATGCTGCCCGACTCTCACTACCTTATCGAGGTCCGGGCCTTCAATGGAGCTGGCCTCGGACCCCCTGGTGAACACTGCGAGATGTTCACAAAGAGAGCACGTAAGACAAAATATGGACTATAAACACCTACAATGAGAGTTATGGTATAGATATGGTCCTAGCAAATACCTGTGTTTTGTCTCCAGCCCCACCAGACCCTCCCAGGATGTGGCGCTATGTTACCTGGACAGGACAGTGGTTGTATGTGTGGTGGGATCATATCTTTTATGACTGGTTTGGCGATATTTCCTTCCCCCTTTACTACAAGGTGAGTGTGGAATACTTCTATTAAGGCTGCTACCTATCAAGTGTATAAATACGTTTTTCCATTGGAAAGCTTGGCCTCAGTGTCCTCAGGTGGTTCTGTGATGATGGTAGCCTCTATGGAAACAAGAAAACTCAAATTTTTGATTGTGCTAATTCCTATAATATACATTTTAAGCAAAGGTGTGTTGTTTTAGTTTGTTATTTGTTTTTGAAGTCTAATTTAAGCAACTTAAACAAGTCTTTAATAAACGTTGTAGCCAAAATACAGACACTAACCCCCCTTAAAAATCGAAAATCAGATCAAAAATGTCCCCACTTAAACTCCAGAGTCTACATGGAAAAGTTGAAGATCCAATACTTTTTGTTTTCAAGGTTATGTTCAGAAAGACAGGCTACATCTATGGGAAAGTCTATATGACTGGCTGGCACTTCATGGACTTCCCCATGCCTCAGATGGGAGACTTTGAGCTGTTGGTACGCGGACGTTATGAAGGAGGGGATGGCCCAGTCAGGATGATTAGTATCAAGGGTAAGGCTGGAAAATATAAATATACATATAATACTTTATGTCCTCTTGGTCCATTTGTCTCATGTTGTTTCTTCTTCCTCAGGTGAAGCACCAATCATCACACCCACTCTAAGCCTGGCGTCTATGGTGCTGCTGGCGCTCGGCATTGTGGGATTGGAAATTTAAGCTCTGCCTCAAGTGACATGTGTATATAATAGACTCCGGGGATTACATTTGAATAGAAGGGATCCAGTTTTCACTTCCAAACACTCTGATAGTGGTTAAAATCATGTATCATGCATCTGTTCTGTTTTTCCACCAAAAAAAGCATTGGGTGTTGTTGAACCCAACACTTATTAAGGATGTGCTTCATCTCCTAAACGAACACAACTGTGCTGTATAACTGAGTAAGACTTCTGTACTGGATGATATGTCTCAAGAGAAAATCTAAATAAACTATGTCTTACCCATTTGTCAAGCCAAAACGAATGAACCAATAATATTTGTTAGATTATGTGATTAAGCTCTACACAAACTGTGTTCATATAGAAAAAAAAGGCATCCAGGATCCAGATTTTTGTATGGAACAGTCCTATCACCAGTACAATGCGTCTTATGTTGGACTTCATCACTGTTTCCTGTTGGAGTTGAAACTGGAAAGCGGTGCCAAGGTAGAATTTAACGCATCAATTTCTCACAGGGTCAAGCAATGAAAAGCGCTGTATGATAATCACTGCATTTGGAATGAGCAGAGAATAATGTGTGACTGTGTTTAGATTTGATGTAATTCACCCTTTTTTGTAGCACATACAATATCACCTTTGTTCATCTTTTTGTAAGTACATTTTTTTCTACAGGCTCCATGGTGCTGTATTACAGATACATAAGATGCTTGCTAAATTGTTCATTTAAATCTCCATCCTCACTAGTATCATATGCATAGACAATTTAAGAGTTATGAGTTCTAGCTGCAACAATGAAAGCCATATCACTTTGAATGAAGCCAGGGTTGGAAGAAATATCCGTATATCTATATGTATGCTAAGTTCCTGGCTGCAAAACCATTAAACAGAGTACAACAATCTGGATCGTGTCATTGGTTTAGCCATTTTAAAATAGCCAAGTACTGGTGTTCCTTTCATTACAGTGGGATCTCAGAATAAAAAGAAAAGGTCAAACTATTTGAACTCGAGAAAAATGACCAAAACACCTTTTTGGTACTACTGCAATTTATCCAATGCAGTGTTTGGAGTTCAGGAAGAACTATAATGTCATGCCAGCAAACTGAAATGTGATGTGTGATTTCAATCAGCAGATGGCAGTATGTCTACAGTATGTGCCATTTACCACCGTTCCTGTATCATTTGGCACAATCTCAATTCTATTGGGAATTGTGACATAGTAATCTTATCCTTTATAGTTGTATACACTAAATGTTTGCATTACTGCAAAAATGAATGAAAGCAATATTGTTCACACCTGCCTTCATGTTGTTTCACACATAATGCAGAACTCTGCTTCTTCTTATCACTTGTAAATAAGGAAGTGTTGCATATCCATTATTTTCTCTGTAATGCTGTTTCAGTTCAAATCAAAAGGATTGTTTTGTTTTTTCGTTATCTTATGTATGCCTTTGTTTGAGCTTTGAAGCAAGCGTGATAATCTCTTGTGTGGGAGGCTTTTATCTCTCCTTTTTTTCTCATCCATTTCCGGCAATTCCCTCATCTTACATCCTGTCCTTCAAACAGATTACCAAGACACAGAAAAATATCCCAGGTGAGGCTAATGCTGCCGTCATTTACAGGCAATCAAAGCACACGCACTAAGGTGAGTCCCACTCTGCAGGGGAATGAGGATTCCTTTAGACAGAAATGTTTTCTGTTGGCTTGACATTTTTTGAATAGGACCACTCATGTGTGAGTTGCCACTGAGCAAGGCACTAAACCCCAAGTGGTCTGCTAAATTGGGCATTTACATTGGTCAACACGGTCTGTCGCATGCAAAATCTTGAAATGCTGCTTATGTGTTATCAGAGGGGATTTGTGGTGGCTCTGGATGATATTGAGCTAAGATATGTGCAGGAAGCAAAACCCTCCCATAGCTATTACTGTAAACTAGGAAGGTGATGGGTTAACTCACCTGATCAAAGATGCATATGCATTGGCTGTACTATCAAAATAAAATGCATCGCCACAGGGTGGTGCTCACACTATGGTTTGCAGCCCACTGTGTGGACGTGCCAACGATGCATCTTGGGGCGAATTAAATTCAATTAACTTAGTGTACTTCAGCTCAGTGTTAACATACTTGTATTGGACCTTAGTAATTCTATTGATATGCTACTTTGTATATGCTATTCTTTGTTACTCTTTATTTATTTGACAGCTTTAGTTTCCAGTTACTGTACAGATGACTGACTTTGACAAACAAAGGGTTGTTATGATGTATTTGTATAGACCAAACAAGTGGTGGTCCAAATACTGGTTGGCAATAACAGTAATATTCTAAAAAACACAATTCCCCAAACACAATAATAATAACATATGTCATCTTTTTTTTATCCTGATAATGATGTTATTGTGAATTTTGAAAATCTAATATTGTGGCACTGTTAGACTACATTGTCTAACATTTATATTTAAAATAGGATCCACTTTGATGGGCTACAGCCATTACTCAATAAAGCGACCATTCTACCCAATAATTCATTCTTCATGATGCAGCTGTTCTTAACTTTTTTTATCGACAATATTCCCAGGACAGACGCAGCAGACGAACTCCCACAATGCAGTGGTATATGCACCTAATTATTTACCTATCAGATATTCCCTTTGCTGCTTTCCATTTGATCAGAAGACGCTCTCTGGCTGCACGGTTGGACCTGTGATGGTGGGAGCACATAAATAGATTTAATAATAGAGCTAGGTGCTCAAAGCGAGTGGAGCCTCTGTGATATACCTCTCACAGGCTTTCATTGCATTTTTATCAAACCCTCTCAACCCTTTTAACCCAATTTCCCCTCTCTGAATCATCCCTATCTATATCCACATACAAAGGGCTGTGTTTTTGCATAACAGCACGCTATAGATTTCAATTTCCTATAATTGGAGCATCAAGGGGAATGCTATGAATACACGAAACAAATATAGGGGAAAGTTCAAAATAAAGCCAGTCAAGCGCCAAACCAGGACATATGCAAAGCCTTCACATTGGCCCATAAATCCCATACATTTGGCAGCGCCCCCTGGCTTGCTAGCTAGTTAGCCCAGACTGGAGACGCCACTCCTGCTGGTCCCACGGAGCGTTTAGCCTAGTGAGCGACATCAAGATGGCTCAGGGCTTTGGAAAGAGCCACACTAAATCTCCCAGACCAATTTGGCGTGGCAGAGCTGGCCTGTGTTAGCAGCGCAGTTAACCAGGTTAGCAGCCTGTAAGAGCACAGTTGGAGGCCCCTCCTGCTGGTCGATTGGCTGAAATGGGCTGCTGTGTCAGAACAGGAAGTAATTGCTTCTTCTATGGATAGTTTATGACCTAGTTTACCCTGTGAAGAATAGCTCTTTTACGTATCCCTCTTTCTGGTGGCGGTGCTTTATCAGGCTTTCCCTCTCGCTATTAGTGAGCAGATCGTACCTTAAGGCCAAAGGGAACAATTTTAGCTGCATTGTGTGGCACTAAGGGCTAATTGATTGCTTACTGAGAAAAACCTTTTCTGTCTTCTCTCACAGAAAAGGTTTTTCCTGTCCCTTGGCTAAATTGAGAAACCTCATTGTTGAAATATTCCCTGGATACCCAGTAGTGTCTAAATTCAGTATAACAACAGGCAGGTTGTATTGTTGTGTGACTTGGTTGTGCGGCTCATCAGCCCACTGCCAGGTTTGTGTTCTCCCTGCACCAGGACCCCCCAGTCAGCTTTGGCAAATCCTCTCTCTTCCTCCCTGCTCTGTGCTGGCAGACCCAGCCCTTGGTATTGCTGATGCCATAAAAACAGTTTCCAATCCTCTTTGAGTGAAATTAAAGATTAGCAGCAGTGTGTCTGGAGCCAGGAACCGTTGTGGCTGTGAACACCTTTCAGCATTTGTGGAGGTTCATTCAGTTTGATTGCTGAAACTGGGAAACTGGGCAAGCGAAACTCAACTATGTTTTATTTTCAAAATGTCATACTATACTATGACTCTTTTTCACATGTTTTAACATACTATACAATTGCATTTTAACGTTTTTTCTCATTTGTTTTTGATATTTTTCGTGATATTTTAGACATACTACACATTTCTTTCTGGTATTTTTGACATACTATCCAATTCCTTTATTGTAACGATATACTATACTATGTATTTTTTCCAATTTCTTCGACAAGCTATACAATTAATTTATTTTTACAACTATACCATTACATTATTTCAGATTCTTTTGACATACTATAACTTTTGCTTACGCTTAAACTATTTTTTTTAAATATTTTGTGACATTTTATACTGTGGCGTTTATAAATACTTTCTACTTCATAGTATACTATATAGTATGAATACATTTTTATGACATAAGGCTTCTTTTTTTTTTTTAAAGTTTCAACATAAATAGGTTTGACATATACATATATTATGACATTTTTCAACATACTTTATACTACTTCTGTTTAATATACAAAAAATAATGCTTTGCTACAGTAAAACTCTTTTCTACCTGCTCAGCGTAAAATCTCCCCGAGTATCAGGTGTAGACAGGAAAGAAAGGCTTTAGCCATTAGTGTTGTGCGTTCTCAGCTGTCACACAGGAGGCCATGCAGTGACGGATGCATGTCAGCCTCATGAAAGAGGAATGTGATACCTGTGCTGTCAGGAAGGAAAGCTGGAAGCAGACGGAGACAGGAAACACGCTGGCACAAAAAAGCAGGAGATAGATATTTGAGAAAAGGAAAGAAGATCCCTTGAAAGACACCGCAAAATAATGTGGATACCTCAGCTCACTTTAGGCACCATCATCACTTCAGTCTCACCACCACAGAATAATGACAGGATTTATCACGGATTTCTATCCACAACTGAACAACTAAATTCATATTAAGAAACAGCTTTCAAGCATACAAATAAAAATGCTAAGCTACAGGACAAAAATATCTTCAAATTCCCCTTCTTTCTGTTGATATGTCTACTGTGCGTTTACCATGTGTGTTAACGCATTACAAATGCCCAAAACATTTCATTAGGAGAAAGGGGTTGCAGTTCCAAAAACGCTACAAATAAAGAAAACACAAATGTGCAGAAACACATGCATCAAATGACACATTCACCAACTTGACGAAAAGTCCACAG